AATACTTCAGTGCATTTTAGTTTAGTTCTTTTCTCACTTATTACTTTAGATGTCATTCATTTTCTCAATTTCAGGGGATTTAGAGATGTTATATCCTTGATTAGTGTGACATGAGTAACTTTAGGTAAGTATAGAAATAAGATAAGTTAAGGACTGGGACTGTTAAGTCACAGAAGAGAACTTAGGAAGTCGCAGGTAGTTTGATTGACATCGCTCATCGAATTGAACCATTTAAATAAAAGGATTGTACCGATGTGTTTCTCTCCACGTACCAAACTATTTTTATGTCATAGCCAGAGATATATGTAAGAAATAGTAGAAAACATAGTGTTAAAGTGTGTGTCAGGAGGAAAATAGCTTATATGTCGTTAATGTTTTCGATTATCGATCGTGAAACTTTCCATAGCAGCTCAGGAAAATCCTGGTTTAGTTTCATTTAATCTAATACTTGGTCTCCATCTGAGAAATCCATTTGGTCCCCTCCCCACCAATCAGATGCTCTCTCCTGCTCCGACCCTCTTTCACCTTCCTTCATGTACATTTAGACTTCATCTGGACCGAGTCTGGGTGTGGATTTTTTTTTTAAAGCGCCTTAAATTAGTTCACTCCAGACTGAATTACTGTGACCGTGATATTTTGCGAGCGGAAGAATTCACAGTGCGAACATGAAGTTGTCAGTGCTTTTCATTTGGCTTGCCTCATTATGAAGAGATGAGGCTGAATCTGAGAAACGGAACCTGAAAGCTGTGTAACTGTCGTCTGTCTCAACAGAGCTGAACGTGTGCGGACATTTTGCAGCTTTTACTGACTGGAATCAATCAGCTTATTCATTTTGGCTCTACATTCAGTTAGTTTGCTGGCAAACACCTGGACTCCTAACGTCTGTGTCAAATTATCGAAGGCATTTAGTATAAATTTGTCTATTAGCTGCACGTAAACACTTAATGCCTTCTGGTCCTTTTAAAAATCCCTTTTCTTTATTGCTACCTTCTGTTCTTTGACACGAAAAATCCCTTAAATAAAAATAAAAAAACGATTACACTACAATTTAATGAAAAAAATCCAGTTAAAAGTTTGAAATGCCTATTTAAAGTATAAAAATCAATAAAATATTTGAGAAATGTACAGTTTTATGTTCACTGTCGAGAGCCAATTTGCAACTCTCAAGTGGTTTCACTAAAAAAAACTAAAAAATCTGTAATAAACTCTTAAAATGTTGTCTGTTCGGCTGTAAAGGTTAAGTTTAATGGATCTGAGGTTAATAAACTGCTGTATTTTAAGTGTTTCGTTTCAAGTGTTCCTTTTTGTGCTATATTCTCATTAGTGTCAAATAACTGAAATAAACTGTAGAATTAAATATTGAAGGTTAAAAATCCTATTTGTAACTGTAAACTGGAATATCCCATAGAAACAGGGCAGTAGGTGAACGGGACCAGTTAATAATACTTAATAAATATGTTGTCTAAAGTGGAAATCACTGCTCTGTTTCTTACAGCCTTAGAGAAGTATGTGAAATGATATTAAATTAATTTAATGGAGGGGAAACTATTTGAATACTATATGGCTCTAAACACCATCCTATGGAGATAATACAGTCATTCCTGTCGCGTTCAAAGGATTAACAGTAAAAGATAAAAACTAAAGTGCAGGATTTCAGCTATTGCAATTTTTAAAAAAGTGCTGTAAGCGATGAATAAATAAAGGATTATATACATTCCTTGGCAGTGCATGGCAAAGCTTTGATGTAAGAAAAACCTCATGAATATATATATATATATATTTATATATATTGCTACTACCACTACTACTAAAATGGAGATTATGTACAATAGAATATAAAATAGCTGAATAAAGTGCTGAGGACGGCAAGCAAAGTTACAGAAATGTCCTGAGGTACCACGTATAGCAGCATACACTTGCTGGTGCCAGAGGTCGAAGTCTTAGCAGCTCATCAATCCAGCGACGACCAAAGACAGCAGCAGCAGTAAAACGGACCCTGCAGCGACAAGAACAATATGGAAGTTACCTCACACACATTACCCATAAAACATACTCATTTCAGACCAAACTGATTCCAACACAGCAGTAATCTGTAATTATGTTACGCTGCAAAAAAGGAATCGTCAAGTAAAAAAAAACCTTGTTTCTGGGAAATTTTTTATCTAAAAAAGAAAAATAATCTTGTCAAGCATGTTTTGCATTTAAAAAATAACCTGGTGTCAAGAAAGTCCATCTAACTTTGTCTTAAAGCCTTACTTTTGTCATTGTTTTAATAAAAAAATGCTAAAAATTCGAATTCTACAGGTGCCTGATTCATTTTAGATTAAGGTACAAATTCTTAAATTCAGCTCAATAACGTGACCGACATAAAAGTGTTCAGTGCTTATAGCACAACTTGATTATATTTGGGGCATTTTTTCTACTTTAAAGGCCCATCACAGTCTTTCAATGGCTACATTTTTATATTAGTCTTACCTCATTGGGAGATTGTATTAGCTATATTGAGAGGTGACTACATATACTGTCTGTCGCGCTTATCTTTTAACCGTCTTCAAAATGTGGTTGTCTTTTCAACACAGCTTAGACTAGCACATATCTAAGAACAAGGAAAGAATTTAAGAATTTAAATGCATCGTCAGCAAAGAGCCTGATGGTCTATAAATGGAGACCCACCCTGAGGTCCCGGAGCCAGAGGAGAAGCAGAGCACGGCAGGCTGTAGTAGTGGACCTGCTCCTCCACAACCATATTCCCGTCCTGTAAAGAAGGATACCACACACTGAGCCAATGATAATAAACGTGCCTGGAAGTGAAGTTTATATACATAGTGTTGTTTCTGAAAGCTCAACCGGTCTCTGAATCAACTTCCTCCCAGCTTTCATTGTTTATAACAAACTCAATTTCATGAATATCAGTTCACAATGAATCGAGTTTTATAGTAAAGTCTGCATCTCTCAGTATTGTTAACTAGTGGATCTTGACCTCCGCAATATCGCTGCTCGGGAATGTCAAGAAGAAGCGGGAAGACCTACGCTGTGGCAGACGACGGTAGCGTTCACGTCCACGCATTCATCCAGCGTCATCACTCCACCTCCAATCCTCTTGCATGGAGGTATGCACTGTGTGTCCTTGGAGTAAGCGATGTGCTGCAAGAAAGAAAGAAAGAAAGAAAGAAAGAATTAAGTTTATGAACAGGAAAAAGTTGGTTATTTATCCTAAATTAAGAAGTGACGCGTTTCGATCTCTAGTAGCGCCTACGCCTTTGACTCATCAGGGCAATGAGGACACAGTACAGCTGAGGCTGATGGGAATGTCTACAATTCATCCTGAGGGGAACATGAATGTCTGAGCCCAGTTTAATCCCAATCCAACCAACAGTGGTTGAGATTATTCAGCACGGGCCAAAGAGGCCACCGCTGGCAGGCCCCTCAAATACAACCAACTTATACTCATAATGACACTTCATTGTGGGCGGACAGTCTGCTTTCTAACCCAGCTCATATGAAATGATTATTGACAGTTGTCTGGTGGTAGGTTCGTGTGTTCTTTGGGTCTGTTTGTGTCTGGTTGAACGATCATTGAAAGCACAGAAACATCACATCTGGACCATAAACTCTGTAACTGTGCACGCAGGCTTTATCTATATTTACCTTCGTGTTGATATCCCAGGAGTTCTCACAGCTCGGCTCGTACTTCAGTTCAGGTTTGCAGCAGGAATACTGCGAGGTGCTCTCCTTCACATCTGGGTTGCAACTCACAAACCCCACAGCTGCTAATGAAGACAAAGAACATGATATAAATACACCGGGCATCATCATTTTATCCCTCCCTATGGTCAAAACATCAGATTTAAATCCTGAAATGTGCTTTTATCCTTTCGGTCTGTTTATTATTCTAACATGTGGACAATAGTGGAGGAAGACAAAACTTTAAAGCCTGGCATGAATGAAAAAAGCTCATATCTGTAGTTAGAATCTAGAGCACGTAAAAGAGGAATAAACGTGTTATTCTTGCTGGCTTTATTTTTATCCTGAGGTCATGAAAGTCTCCATTTAGTAAATGAAAGCAGAACTTCCCATGAAAGTCATAGTGGGACTTTCCCCACCTGATTTCATGTAAACGTATCTGTTCCTCTTTTGCTGTGGAAACTACCTCACAGCATGGATGAAAGCACGGGGAATCCCACCGGCTGCTTTCACTTTCTGTGTGCTTATCATGCATCATGCAAGATTAACAGCCCATCACACATAATAGTATATGCTGACATGTTTACATTGTTAACAGTAGTCATCCGGAGTACAAACAATGCGACTGTAGTAGTATCCTATTAAATAAATGGCCATATATTGTTGCAGGAAGGTAAACAGCTAAACATACAAACAAAAATAAACACGCACATGGTAAATAAAACACGAACAGTCTTTCTAGACAGACTCTCTATTGTTTATTCTCTCTTTCACACATCAGTCTAATCTCTCCTGCAAACAACTGCCGAACTTCACTCAATAATCGGTCCATTTCATAAAGCCATTTCAGCCCGGGGCTTTAGCAGGTAAAACGTTTTCACCTGCAGTTGTTTCCGATTTTACCCTCACACATCAACTGTTCAAAAAATACCTTAACATACGCTCTTTGCATTATGGGTATGTAGTTATAAGCAGGGGGGAATTAAATTGACCCTTTTTTAAATGCAGTTTGGCTTACTCACCCGACAAGAGAAGAGAGAGTAGAAGCGCTTTAACACAGTGCGCGGTGCGAACCATCGTTGTGGCTGTGCTTTGTCCTTTACTGTGGGTCTCTCTTTCTCTTTCTCTCTCTTCTAACTTTTCTTCTCATCAAACGTCCCCAGTACTACGGTGTGTGTGTGTGTGTGTGTCAGTACGGGGAAACTTTATGGTCTGCGTAGAGGAAACGTATTTCCAATCTGGTGTAATACATGCACGTTTATTATTGAACGATATTAAAGGGGAAGTTTCGTCTACTCTGATTGGCTAGAGGTGTGTCTAGTAGACACTAGATAAGTGCACAGAAGGAACAGAGTCACCAACTCACATACCTGCTCTCCGGACTCGTTTCCCATCCTCCCTCTGCAGCTGAACACCATAATCATCATAATCATGTGTGCAGGTCTACTGAACCTTGTTGTACTCTTGTCTTTATGTAAGTACTTTAAACCTATTCAACGTCAGATGCACTTTTCTGCTGCTGTGTGTTGTGGTTGTTGTTGTTGTTGTTGTTTGCTGTCTGTGGGCTTTCTCTTACTGTCACACTGCAGAGTTCTTGTATTAAAGGTTTTACAGAGTCACACATTAAAGCTAATTGTATGTATTCTGGTCTCAGTTGTGTGTCTGGCAGTGGGCATGGCTGTCTCAGAGGAGTTACTGCAGATAAAGTCCGTCTCTGGAGCGGACTGTCGGCTGCAGTGCACGGCTGTATCCCAGCCCGGGGTCCAGTACAGGGCAGTGAGGTGGTACAAGGTAAACACTTTTCATTACATGAGGTTTTTATGAAGGTTATGATTCTGCTATGACCTCTGTTAATGCTTCTTCTTGAAGGGCTACATGTCCAGTTCTCATTGGCTGGTTTAAAATCCATGCTTTTACTTTCGTTTCTCTCAAAAAGTACAGCATATGTTATCAAATGTATGAATATAATAAGAATAATAAAAGACTTTAGTACTGGAAGTTAGTTAGTAGTTAGTTAGAGTAGCATTATAAGTAAAAGTAGAAGTATGGTCTAAAAATATATCATTACAAGTAAAAGTCCAAAAGTTTTATCAGCAAAATGTACTTAAAGTATGTAAGTAAGTAAAAGTACTCAGTATGCAGAATGTGTCATATTCTTATAGAATATTATATTATTCTGCCTTGATCACTAATAAATACATGTAATAGGATTTTAATGTTGTATTTTTGTATGAATACTTCTGGTAGTAGTATTTCATTGAGTCATTAAGCATATTATGTATTTTGTTTCATGTAAAAAGTAACTATAAGTGTCAAATAAATGTACTTCAGTAGAAGTATAAAGTAGAGATAGCACAGACAGGTAAACTGTATAAAAAGCTCCCTAAAATACTTGAGTAGTAACTTTACTTAGAGTTAAAAGTAATCCAATGTAAACCAACTAAATAAGAAGCAACATTTTCTATGTCTGACTCTTGTAATGGAGTATTTGTACAGAGTAGTTTTGGTACTTGTTGTAGTTGTTGATTTGTGTTTCTGATCAATCTCACGCCGTACTGATGATGTCACAGGTCAGGGACCCGCCTTCTCCATCTCGCCTCAGCGGCCTTTTGACCAAAGACCTCCCCAACGGCCCGACACGATGGTACACCAGCGTGGACCAAGCGGTGCAGCTGGTGAACAATTCCAGCACCATCTTCCTGCCCAACGTGACGTGCGGGGAGAGCGGCGTGTACGAGTGTCACCTGGCGGCGCCTGTGGGACAACAGAACCGCGAGGGCCGGGTCCGACTCACCCTGACAGGTAAAAGTCAGAGCTCAGCAGGTTTTGTCTCAAGTTCTCCAAACTTTCCCAGTTCTCTGAAGGAGATGAAAGACCACCTAACACATCATAGACTTTAAATTTGAACCGGGGGACTTCCAGACTCAGTCGACTCTGGTGTTGTGAGCATCCTCTGTAAACACACCTGGATCTTTGGCTCCAGGGGAAAAGCGTGGGTTCGAGAGGGTGAATCATCCGTCAAACAACACAGCTTTTTAAACATTCACACCAAAAACCACTTCAGAAGAGGGAGAATTCAATCTCTGGTAGCAGAATAAGAGTCTGCAGCACTGGGAGGCTGTACTTTGGCACATTTGGTTGTGCTATGTTTAGTTTTATTTCAGGTGTTCAATAGCATAAATGGAATATAATATATCATTAGTGTATAATCACCTGAAAATAAGAACCAGGTTTTGTTGCCTGAGAATGAGTTTTTATCTAAATTTGGGGGCTGAGTTGTATCCAAATGGTTGCAAGCTGCAATAGAACAATAGAGCCACTGAATCCTAACTGGTCCTTTAAGACAGTGGTCCACTGGGGTCGCAAGTTGGAATGGCAAGGCCTTCTTTATTTTAAGGGTGTATGGAAACTAAAATATACACAGTAGGCCTATTACGTTTCAGCATTTTATAATTAAAATAAATTATTATTTATGATCTAAACTGTAAAGAACAAAAAACAATTTTTTTTTACAACCCCTTCCAGGTAAACGCCTCGTCCTGCCTTAGAAAACTCCAAAGTGACTCTTTTTTTAATAAAAAATAGATAGCACAGATAGATCAATTGTATAAAAAGCTCCCTAAAAATGTCAGGAAAACTCATTTGTGATCAATAATCACAGGAAATAATCTGCTCAAAATTCAAAATTGCTCCATTTACGCAAACTGAGGTTCATTGCACAGCTGGTCTGTAAATCATTGAATATCATATGAAATATCCATAAAATATGTCACTTCATCGGGGGGGTCGTCAGTTTACTTAATGATAGAAAAGGGGTACCTTAAAGGAAAAAGGTTGGAAACCGCTGCTTTATCCTGCACAAGAACAACACAAACCCTTTCAAAACTGAATGACCTAAATAAGTTGTGACCACTGACTTCGTGGTGATGAAGAGGATGATGATGATCAGGTGTGATGTGATGTAATTCATGCAGGTTCACCACTTGAGTAACATTAATTTCTGCTTTCCTTTTTTCAGATTGTCCAGAAATTTGCAGGGAAATTGTGATGACAGACACTTACATGGTTATCGTCGCCACAGCAGTGCTGATGTTTGCACTCGTGGTATTCATAATAAGCTATGTAAGTACTTTGTAAGTAATGGAATATGCTTACACACACAGTAATGCTTTGGGAAAGTTTCTCCAACAACCCAGTTTACTTGTACTAAACATAAAGCTACAGCAGACTGCACTCACATGTTTATATTTTTATGTCTCACTAGTCTTCTTCACTCCTTATCTAAATGTATTTTTCCTGTTTCTCTGTCATAGGTTTGTTTGAGGAACACCATCAAAGGTAAAAACAAGACCACAGTAAAAGAAACTTTATTGGATGCACCGCTCAAGCCACTTGAAAAGAAGGACTTAATGTTGATATACACATTGGGTCCGAACTCAGGCAAAATGAAGCACATCTGTGTTTAAAGACGAAGATTGTGCTGCAGAAATGCTGGAAGAAGACTGGCTACCTGACGACTGGGAAGAGAAATCTAAATCCACCAAAAAAGCTTCTTTGATAGAGAGACTCATCCTCAGGTGACTCCCTTTTGTAATCCAATGTATGAAAGAGGAGGATATGAAAATCTAATGATTCCCCGACTTAAAACTCCAGCTGAGGATGAGGAGCAAGTGCTAGGAAATTCTCTTCAGAAGCTAAAATAAAAGCGGGTCTTCCTCTCCCCGGACAGTCAGGCACAGCTGAGACGTGGAGCCGGACACCAACTCCTGTTCAGGAAAGTCTGTGGCCGGAGGTATCCCGGGTGCAACAGGACAGGTGATCATTCCCGGGGTCCTCCTGTCTACATGTGGAAGTCTGTGTAAAGTGAACTGCTAGGTCAACCTATTCTTTCCCTTCTTTGTGCAATGCATACAGTTTCTCTTTTTATAGAGTTGTTGTAACTGCCCCCTCTGTGACCACAAGTAGCAAGCACTGTATGTTTAAAGTCCCCCTCCAGTCAGAAATTATAAGATTCACTTTTAATAGATTCTTGAATTTTTAACGAGGTAGGAGTAGATGCCTTTTTTATATTGGATATTCTGCTTTTATCCAGAGAGACGCACATTATTGTTCTAAGCAGATTAGTTATATATGTCGTAATATTTGACTGGAGGGGAACTTTAACTTTAAATCCTGAAGACCATGAGATGCGGGTGAAAGGGTAAAAAGGAGTTAAGGTGATGTGGTTGAATGACTGTTTCCAAAGCCAAGAATTCAGTTTGAAGATTTCATTATGTGGTTTTATTTTCTAAAGTTCTCAATGATCTGCTTGAGCAACTGTTCAGCTCGTGTTAGATTTTCCTCAGATAACCACGTGGTACCTGACATCTGAAAATCTGATTTAAGACGCATTTGTATACAAATTCCAAATTCACTTAATTGGGATGTGTCTGTAATTTGAACGTAATTTTTGTTATTAGTATATTTTTCTGATGACATTTTAAGTATCAGTAACTCAATTTAACTAATAATTTTAAGTGACACTAACTTAGTTTTGTAAGGTACAGAAAGCACTTTTTTACGAGGTATTTTGTTTTCACAGCACAAATAAAAATTACAAAATTAAGTCAGTCTCACTTATAATTTCTAAAACTACTTGATCAACAATGGGTTTTTTTACCTTACAAAATTTACAAGAATTTCGATGAAATGTTTTTGAGTTAAAATAAGTGATCAGTTGTTTTTCATTACGTGTGGGTGGGGATAAATCCCACGCTGGGACACTTTTAGCTGCTGTGAGAACCGAGGCTGAGTGACCTTTTTTAAAAACAAGAAGTTAAAAACATTACGCCTCTGTGCGGCGATATCTCGCTTCGTCTGACCTTTTTTTTAATCATGGGAAATCCCTTCAGATCTGTCTGGGCTTTTTTTAAATAATGTAGCACTTCTCTTTTAAAAGGCGCCCCACTAGATACATGTGACATGTTTTTTTTCTCCCCCCCCTTGTGGTAAAACAAAGTTAAAAATAACAGATGTTTTATGTCCGCATTTATGTTGTCATCAAATAAATAGACAAAATGACATGATGCAAACAATATGGGATGGTATGTTTAGATTTAATGGTGTACAGTACAGTGTATATGACCTACAGGATATCTGTGCTAATTCAGTCAGTTGGATATAAGCATTATTGTTAATTATGTTATATTAATGGCTGCCGTATGCTGGTCTTTCAATGTTTGGTTCAGTTTATATGTAGAGTTTTGTTTTCTAAGACGTTTGTAGCGATGAAAATATACTGTGAACTAAAGAATGGATGGAGGAGGAGGCTGAGCAAATTCAGGACAGAAAACAATGACTGAAGCCTTTGTTTCTGGTTAAATAAAGGTTGAATTGTGATGAAATTGATTGACAATGGGACATAATGTTGTTTGAGGTGTTTTTGTCATCTATGAGGCAATAAAAGAAGATAAATGGATCTTGTTACTCTGACATAGTGACTAGTTTTGAATTGAGAGGAGTAAGTTGAAGAGAAAGTACTGGATACTAGACTTATGATATTATCACATGTCAGTGGTCAGGTGCATTAATAGTTTGGATTTGGATTTATGAAATACAGACTTTAATTTACACTGCAAACTCTGCTGCAGAGGTTCAAATTAGAGTTTAACATTTAAGAACTTTTCTTTTTGAGGGGCAGAAAAGTTTTCCCTATAGCATTCAGGGTTATGTGACTCACAATTGCTTGTGATGAAGTTTCTGGTTAAATTATAACGAGTTAAAGTCATTATTGTATCTACTCTGTGTTATGTGTGTTTGTGGTTGTTATGATAGGAAGCCATGCAGGCAGTATTCGTGTTGCAGGGAAACTCCGTCTATATATTGCTGAGTTCCTTTCTGAAAACTGAAAACGTAACAGAACTTTAAAAAGCAATTCATCAATAAGGAAAGTGGAAGGAAGTTTCTTTAAAAAAGGAGCAATGATCTGTACATAGCGCAGTAATAATGAGAAAAGGAGTTCCTCAATTCGTTTTATTTAATTGTCTGTTTTGTCCATTTTATGTTTCCAGTAAGAATTAAAGTTTGTGAAAATGGGGTTTCAGTTTTAAGGATTATAACTTAAAGTGTTTTAAGCTGGTGTTTGTGTGACGCTGTGTTTTTAACATGTCATTGTACTTTAACAGCTCTGCTGTTGCTGCACTAATGGTACACTATAATATATATAATATTCCTATTTCATAAAACATGTTCAATCTGTATGGATTTGTCCCTCTTTCCATCTTGTCTCTATGTTGTTTGTAAGTCAGCTGAGCTGCATCATTACCAGCTGGAACACAATTAAACATTTGTAAGCTCTCATAGTTTAAACTTTCATGAGACGAGTGGTTCTCAAACTTAGGGTCGGGCCCATAGACCCACTGCAGGTGGGGCGTAGATGACCAGGGGAAAAACTACAGAGTGGAACAAAGCGTAATAAATAGGATTTCTGTTGGGAAAATAAAAAATAATTTGTTTGCTGACCTATATTTCACAGCAAATTCAACTTGGATTAAACTTTTTTATTGGTTCTGGTTCCCCTATTATTATTGACGAATACATTTGAGAACCACTTCTCACGAGAAAGATTAGAAGAAACAGCTTTGTTTTTCTTCTTCACTGTCAGTTTCCTTTCATTCAAGCTCAACTTTAGATCATTTTAGGCAAAAGAATATAGCTCAGTAAAATAAAAAAGGTTTACTGCAGGGAGTTTCTCTTCTGCTCTGAACATGAACTCTGAACTTTGTGGTGTTTCAGGAGGAAAACTGCCTCAGTTATACTCTCATATTAGTTTCACAGTTTCTCCATCAGCTTTGTATGAGACCCTGGAATGAAGACAAGAAGAAAATACTTTGTTCATGTTTGTTTATTCATGATGTAAAGCTTCAGTTTGTTCACACATCCTATCAGTAAAGTCTGTTCAATGACTCTTGTTCAATGAGTTCATGTACAGATTCACTTCATCCACACAATCAGTTTGTTGGAGCAGAATCTCAGCTATGTACAAGGAAATAATCAATCATCTGCTTATTGATTATCATCATGCTGAATACACTTTTATAATCCCTCATAGTTCCTCATTTGTACGTGGATTTGGACAGCAAAAACAACAACAAACAAATAAATGTGATTAAAGATTTCTTTCCAAAGCGGTGACAACAGAATATCTCCGATAAAGGAAGGTCTGCTGCTTTCTCTCTTAGACCCATACAGTGGAAGAGAAACAACAACATACAAATACATCATTACAAATATTCAACAAACACAAGTTTACATTTTCATGCAGAGAAATATCAGTTCAGGTAAACAACAGTCATCATGAGCAGTGATAGCCTCCATGGCTAAACAGACACAGGAAGGAGCGCCACCTAAAGACACTCAAACATTTACAGAACAACTAATGAGAAGATGTCAAAGTACCGCCCACAATGTTTGATTGACAGGTGATCTCTGTGCAGTGAAGAAATGCCACAACAATCAGCTCTCAGCAACAACGATGGAAACAAAACCATTTGAAGAAATAAAACACAGAATTTAACCCACTGCCCCTGAAATCACTTCTGTCTATTTCAGTTTACACAACTCAGCTGTGGATCCATAATAGAAAGGCCAAAATCCAGCATAGAGAGGCTGAGTGAAAGTGGTCTGGACTCTGTGGAGGAGAGTCATGGTTTCAGAGACGCTGTAGAAGGACAGAATACCTGCACTGTGATCCAGGTACACTCCAACTCTGGAGGACCGAGGACCTGAGACAGGAGTGAGGACTCTGTTGTAATAATACTCATAACTGTTTGTGTAACAATATAACATCCAAGATTTGTCATTGAATCCAAATCTACCTTCATCTGACCCTTTGCTGATATTCTTGTATGCGACTGCTACACCAACTCCTCTCCCTCTCCACTCCACCTCCCAGTAACAACGTCCAGTCAGACTCTCTCTACTCAGGACCTGATACCACCCAGTGAATCTGTCTGTGTGAGTAGAATAAGACTGATGTTGACTTGTTGCTGTTGCTTTTCTGTTCCCCTCAGATAACAACAGATATGTGTTTGCTGTGTTTGGATCCAGTGTGAGTTCACGTGAATATTGTAAGAATCCAGCTCTGGTCTTGGGCTCTGGTTGTGGCAGTAAAACATCCACTTCAGTCACTGTCAGTGAGACGTTTGTCCATTTGTCCCTCAGAACGTCCTGTAGTTTATCTCTGAGCTCTGACACAGCCGCTGTCACATCCTCAAAGTACCTCAGAGGACGGATATTGATGCTGGATGTAGATTCACTGAGTGCTGACAGTGAGGGGTAGTTGTGTAGAAACTGGGTGTGGTCCTCTGTGTGTGACAGCTTCTTCATCTCAGCGTCTTTCCTCTTCAGCTCAGTGATCTCCTGCTCCAGCTTCTCCTGAAGCTCTTTGACTCGACTCACTTCAGTTTCCTGCTGGGATCTGACCTGCTGCTTCACAGCAGAGCTTCTTTTCTTCATGAGACGGATCAGCTGAGTGAAGATCTTCTCACTGTCCTCCACTGCTTTATCAGCAGAGCTATTGATAGCCTCCACCTGCTGTTGAAGCTCCTTCACATCTTTCTCTCTGTCCTGGATTCTCTGCTGGATGTTTTGTCGACTCACCTCGAGCTCTCTCTGCCTCTCAGTCCTTTCTGCTGCAGCTGAGACTGTGTCGTGGCCTTTATGTTCATCCACAGAGCAGAGATAACAGATACACTGCTGATCAGTACGACAGAACATCTTCATCACCTCATCATGACGAGAGCAGATGTTCTCCTGGAGCTTCTTGGAGGGGTCCACCAGCTTGTGTTTCTTTAATGGAACCACATCATAATGAGGCTGGAGGTGTTTCTCACAGTAAGAAACCAGACAGAACAGACAGGACTTGAGGGCTTTCAGTTTTCTCCCAGTGCAGAAATCACAGGCCACATCTTCAGGTCCAGCATAGCAGTGATCAGCAGGAGCAGCTTGGAGTCCAGTCTTCTTCAGTTCCTCCACTAAATCTGCTAACATGGTGTTTTTCATCAGGACAGGCCTCGGTATGAAGGTCTGCCTACACTGAGGGCAGCTGTGAATTTTCTTCTCATCCTCATCATCCCAGAAGCTTTTAATACAGTTCATGCAGTAGCTGTGTCCACAGGGAGTAGCCACCGGATCCTTCAGTAGATCCAGACAGATCGGACAGCAGAATCTTTCTCGGTCCAGCTGAACTCCTTGCTGCGCCATTTCCCCTCTCAGTGACAGCGACTGTCTGAGTTTCACTTCCTCAGAGCTGAAACTAGTTTGAGCTCTGATGTAATCAACAGGTGTTTCTGCAGCGAATGGGGGCTGTCGGCTCTTTCACGTCACCACATGTTGGTTACACCCATCTTCAAACTGTAGATCTAAAGGGGAGGGAACAAGGAAATATGTGTGCAGAGAGGAGCTCGCTGTGTTTGAGAGCAGGAGGTAGAGGGAGGGGTTATCAAGCTGTTAATCATTTCCAGGAAGAGGACCAGCGCTGTGAACTTGGTTCTTCATTGTGTTCACTGACCTCTGCCTGGTGGAAAACACAGGTTTTTTTCCCTGTCTTTTACAGATTTACATTTCCAAACTTTCGTTTCACCACATGCGAAATAGATTCTCTCTGCTGTTCACCTTCTCAAGAGTCTTATTGATGTCCTCCTGCAGTTTGTCCAGGTAGCTCTGCAAAGACAGGAGAGGACACACAAAGACAGCGTACAGAAACAGAACTGGATATTCTACGTGTGTTCAGCAGCAGCTCTCCATCTCAGGCGTTCTTGGTGGTTTTCTATAATACTGTGAATAGCACTGATGTAGTATTTAGTATAATATCTGTGCAGAGCAGTGTCAGTGTGGATCTGCTGCTTCAGGAGGCTTTGAGAGTTACACGGCCGCTCTTTATATCCCATGTGAACAAAGTTGCTGTTGGCTGCTGTGTCTCTTACAGTCTGGTTGTCTTGTTCCTACGTAGGAAGGGTTTGAGGCCCTTGTGTGATAATTTAAGCAGATGTATGTTCAGGTGTTTTCTGATAAGTTTGGTTTTAATTATCCAGCTTTAAAAAGGGGGCTTTCACATCATGATTGACAACCGAGCCCTCAATTTAGTCATGCGGGACCCCGATACCACGGTGCAGCAGCTGGATACTTTGAATTCATTTTCATAGAGAGGCCGGAGGTGGAGAAGCATTGTCCATCTTTATATGTTGCCAGAATGTAAAAGATGTTATAATCACAGAAAAACTGTCCCCACAGTGTCTCTGGAGAGGCGGTCAATAAGACACTTTCCCCATGATATATTTGCAAGGATTTATTGATTGATGGATGGATTGCAGATTCTACAGGTCACTAATAGAGGTTTAACTCGATGTGACCATTGACACTTACTCAGTTAGATAAGGTTGGTCTCTGTACGCCTCCTCCTGTTGTCTCCGTAATGCAGTCAAACACTGACCTGCTGTGGAGAAAAGAAGAACAGCACTCTAAATAAAACCCTCTGAAAACGTAGCAGGAAGTCCATCCATCAGGTGGAGGTGTAGTAAAAGAGGTCAGGAGCTTTTGTGCGTTACCTCTGTTTATTCTGCCGTCACTGTTAGAGGCACAGCTTCCTGTCAGCGGGTCACATGGACACTGGTCGCCACACTGACACCTCTCAGCACAGGACAGACCATACAGACCTGAGGACACACTGACGGAGAAAGATCTCTTTAAAGCACAATCCTTTCAAATTAAAAGTCCTGATGATGAAATTAAATGAAATGAATAAATATTTCTAACAGGTGTCGCTATGTTACCATGGAAACCAGGGGGACACATACAGCGTCCGTCGATGTGGTTACAGAAAGCGTCAGTAAACTCTTTACCAAGGAGAAAGAAGAGAAATGATACAGAGTCTAGAAACCATTTTGGAGGTGTGCACCTCCTGAACAACAATGACTGAACAGCCTTTGATAGAATTCATCATCAGACATAATTAGATGTCATTTTGGTGGAAGTCTGTTCTCGTCTTTGCAGTTAATATGAGGTATTAAAGGTCCAGTGTGTAGCATTTAGTGGCATCTAGCTGTGTAGTCACAGATTGAAGCTCCCTCACCTCACCCTCCCACTCCAACATAAAGAAGAAACTATGGTGGTTGTGAAACACTTGAACAACGGTAACGCCACCATCTAGAACCACTACTGCCGCTACTGTAGAAACATGGCGGTCCAACATTGCAGCCTCCACGGAAGGCGACCCCCAGTGTCTGTAGATAAAAACAGCTCATTCTAAGGTAACAAAATCACAACAATTCTTATTTTCAGGTGATTAAACACTAATTAAAACATAGCTATAATTATTATATTCCATTTCTGACAGTAGATCCTCCTAAATGTTTCACACTGGACCTTTAAGTTGTGGTGATTTTTAATCAATTTAATTATTTAATCAGATAAATCATTACAGAGGTGGTTAAAAGTTAAGAAATTACATTTTCTAAATGGTAATTGTAATACTGATTAAAGATAATTCAATAAATATTTTATTTAAGACTAACATTTATGGGGGGAGCATGTGCTTCAAAATAAAAGATTAAACAGCTTAAGTGTATGAAAGAGTTGCAGATATGATCAAGGGAAATACACATTAAGTGTTATTACATTAGACCCTAGAAAAATGTTTAAAATATGTAACTCTGACCTGTGAGAAATACTTATACAGCTGTCTCACACACTCAAAGCGTCTACCGTCAAATCCTACGTCTAGCAGGTGAAAACACAAGTAACACACACAGTCACAGATTCTGTGTGAGACCAGATGAGGCTGAATTAATTCATATAAAGCAACCAAAACACATGGACAGATGACAGTGTAACTGTTTGTCAGTGTAAGTTATATATATATCTTTATTTACAGTTCATTTGTAATAATTCAACATGAATTAATTTCTCTACCCAGAAGGAGCTGGTTTTACAGTTGGCACCATGAATTTTGGCAACTGCAAACTCCATAATAATTCATTTAAGGTATAAGTATTAATCCAGTGTGAAATATTAAGTACATGTGGTGGATGCAGCTTTAATTATTTCTTGTAAGTTAAAAATAATTAATAATGAATTCCAAACAGGGCATATACTTTAATGCAAAACTAAAATAAGTTCCAAAATATTGTACCCAAATACGCCTTTATTGTCCATTTTTACCAAACATGGGTCAAATACAGTTTGTGAAGATTGTGTAATTTATCACAAATTATAATAAATAACAATAACAATAACAAATTTAAAATGTAGAAAAGAAGCCTAATAAAACATGACACACCTTCTAAACTTTTAATGTGTTTTGTTTGTCTGTCTAAAGTTTCTTTAAAAAACACACCCTTCCAACGCATCGATAACAAAACGAAACTTTCCACGCACTTCCATGAAAACACCACACTTCCTCTCCAAGCTTCACTGCCGCTTCCGGGTTCATGGCGTCGCGTCCTTGGCAACGTCGATGACGCCATGGCGCATCCCACGGCCCAGCCTTCCTCATCAGCCCTCTCAGACGGCCAGGTAGTATCAAACCCAGTACCTGCCATTTGCCTTCACAAACAACCTGAGCACAGGCATCCCTACATCCCAGAATATTATCCCTTCTCTCATTTCTAACTTCCCTGTTCCGTCTTCTTCGGCTGCCTTTGCTCCTCCCATTCCAATACCAACCTTCTCAGGCACACAGAGCGTGCCCACAAATACAATCCATGTATTTCTGGGAACGCTCCCAGCCACAAAACCCTTATTCTACTCCTGTTTCTTCATACCGTGTTTCTCTTCCTTAACACACCTCCTTTTTCCCCACAGGTAGCTCAATCGTGGGCTTTCCCACCCATCCCATTCCTATCATCCCTGTGTCACCACTCTCAGACGACAGATTTCCGTCTCTCATTACGTGGACATCGCAATTTAATTCCGCACGCTGAACTTTTTACCTATAAATGAATCTTTCATGACTAACTCTTAAAACCTATACGTAATATATCTTCTTATGTTCGTTCAAATACTGGTTCGCCTCTTGTTGCTGCAACAGTTAGTAGTTTTATTTCAGAGTCATCAGCGTGACATTAGTTTAGACTCGTACGCATTGACATCGCCATTCAATACATCCGTCCGAACTTACCATCTCTCGTTTCGGCCCATCGGGACCTGGTCGTCCCTTCGTTCCAGGGTCTCCTCGCCTTCCCCGTTAATATTTAATGATAAATAATCTTTCATGGCAAATTCTTAAAATAGTATACGCAAAATATTTCTTTTTACGTCCGTTCAAAAAAACGATTCACTTCTTCGTCCAGGCAAGCAGGAAGCCTTGCAACGGCTAATAGTTATATTTCAGTCATCATCATAACAATAGTTTCCAGACTCATAAGCATCGACCTCGTCATTCAATACATCCGTCTGAAACTTACCATCTTTCGTTTTGGCCCATCCGGACCTGGTCATCCCTTAGTTCCAGGGTCTCCTCTTCTTCCCTGCTGATACTTATTTAACGATAAATAATCTTTCATGCCAAATTCTTAAAACATGTATGCAATATCTTTCTAGGTTAATTTAAAATACCGGTTCGCCTCTTAGTCCAGACAAGCAAAGAAGCCTCGCAAAAGTTAAACATTTTTATTTCAGAAGCATCATTGTAACAGTAGTTTACAGACATAAACGCGTTGACCTCGCCATTCAAAACATCCGTCCACAACCAACCCTCATATCCACAGAGAACCGTTAAACTGCATTCAGTCCAATTGAATGCAAACAGCCACTATCTACCCACTCTAAACAACGCATTGCTGTACAATTCATCTTCCTGTTACCCTCTTTCCGTGACATTATTCGTTCATCGTTGCCCGATCGCAGATCAGAGCCGGACGGTTACACGCCTCTGATACTCGACCCAGCCCCTGGGCTCAGCAGCAAGGGAATCTACACATACCATATTCCGTTCACATCCCAAGGCGCTGGTTGCCTGCAACAATTCAATCAGGGAACGTACGGGTGCTCACCATATCCAGAACTCTACTGCCACGTTCTCGCAGCTCGCTCTTCCCTGAATCAGAACCAACGAGGAGTGGTGCCCCGTCCCATCCAACCACAACACACACCCTCACAGCTTCTTTGACCCGAACCTTACATCAAAACCAACGTAGCCCTGCTTTTTTCGCCATTTTCTTATTTCATACATTTGATGGCGTGGTCGTTGTTAGTGAAATGATGTTTTATAACTAGGTTCGGGAACAAAGACCACGCCCTGCAATCATTTCATTTCCACTCAAAACTTACTTCCAGCACACCTTATCCATTGACTCCCTCCTTGACTCATTTCCCACATCCCTCCCACCCAAACCCTCTCTTATCCAAATACAGGAACCACTGGGGCTCTCTACAAGAGATACGAAGAGACAGTTCCCCCACTCAGTGTCTCGCAACCCACTCAGTTCCCTCATACATCGCGCCGAACCCCTCCATCCATTCATCGATCCGCCAACTGACCTTCATTCCTCCGACCTTCATTCCTCCGACCTCATCCATCCCTCATCCCTCGAACCTACCTCCATCCCTCAAACCTACCTTAATCCCTCGAACCTACCTTCATCCCTCATCCCTCAGTATACCACATTGGTTCACATTTGTTCATTATGTGCAATAAACTTTTCTTATTTCATACATTCGATGGTGTGGTCATTGTTAGTGAAAGGGCCATTATTGTATTTCAGTGGCTAGGTTTTTATGCTAGTTTTCTGAATTCTTACCCCACTGGCAGATTTTGATTATTATATTGATTATATATTTAAGATTATTTGGCAGGTTTCTAGAAGAGCTGTTTTTGTAGTAAGAGGCTGATTAGAGTGAAGGTAGAGTCAGTATTAAGAAGTGTATTGTGATTGTCCTCTGTAATTAAAACAGGAAACAGCAGGTGGAGCCACACATACACACACACACGTATACATTCCTACACTGCTAACAGGGGACTGTCGGACCACCCTATCCAACGGGGGACTGATATTTATGGTTATTTAAAAAAAACAAAATAGCATAGACATTTTTCTTTTAAGGTCTTTTACCAGAATGATACTTCAAATGTATTTTTTTTTTAATAGAAATTGCCAAGAGGGGACTTTTTTCCATTAGCGATATCTACCTATCAAAGAAGGGCCCTCCATATACTGCAATGGAACTGCCTCTACCCACTCTTTCACTTTCAGTGTTTGTTTGTTTACTGCAAAGACTTTCTTTGTTTCTTTCAAAAACACAATTTAACTTTAATGGCTATGCTTTAATTACAGAAATTATATATTATTACAATAGTGCACTAATTTGAATGTTTTTGCCCTTAATAACAAACATTTCCAAACCTTGGGCAGGTTTCGATTCATGCGTTGACTGTCATGTTGTGGTTGTTCGGCAGTGACACAGATAACAGTCATCAAAAGAAAGAAAAATAGAAAACAGGAAAAAAATTAGCAATACAGCGGTCAGCAGTAGGATCCTGTCTTTTTAGTTTTAATTAATATACTTGACATCAGGCTTTGACTTGCCCTTTAAAGTGGCTCAGTCCCAAAATACTCACTGACCACAAATAAATGTGATTAAAGATTTCTTTCCAAAGCGGTGAGAACAGAATATCTCCGATAAAGGAAGGTCTGCTGCTTTCTCTCTTAGACCCATACAGTGGAAGAGAAACAACATACAAATACATCATTACAAATATTCAACAAACACAAGTTCACATTTTCATGCAGAGAAATATCAGTTCAGGTAAACAACAGTCATCATGAGCAGTGATAGCCTCCATGGCTAAACAGACACAGGAAGGAGCGCCACCTAAAGACACTCAAACATTTACAGAACAACTAATGAGAAGATGTCAAAGTACCGCCCACAATGTTTGATTGACAGGTGATCTCTGTGCAGTGAAGAAATGCCACAACAATCAGCTCTCAGCAACAACGATGGAAACAAAACCATTTGAAGAAATGAGACACAGAATTTAACCCACTGTCCCTGAAATCACTTCTGTCTATTTCAGTTTACACAACTCAGCTGTGGATCCAGAATAAACAGAAAGTCCAACATAGAGAGGCTGAGTGAATGTGGTCTGGACTCTGTGGAGGAGAGTCATGGTTTCAGAGACGCTGTAGAAGGACAGAATACCTGCACTGTGATCCAGATACACTCCAACTCTGGAGGACTGAGGACCTGAGACAGGAGTTTGGACTCTGTTGTAATAAAAGTTATAACTGTTTGTCAAACATTGTAACATCCAAGATTTGTCATTGAATCCAAATATACATTCATCTGTCCTCCCTGCTCTGCTGATATTCTTGTATGCGACTGCTACATAAACTCCTCTCCCTCCCCACTCCACCTCCCAGTAACAACGTCCAGTCAGACTCTCTCTACTCAGGACCTGCCTATATACAGTGAATCTGTCTGGGTGACTAGAATAAGACTGTTGTTGACTCATTAATGTTACTTTTCTGTTCCCCTCAGATAATAACAGCAGTGTGTGTGCTGTGTTTGGATCCAGTGTGAGTTCACGTGAATATTGTAAGAATCCAGCTCTGGTCTTGGGCTCTGGTTGAGGCAGTAAAACATCCACTTCAGTCACTGTCAGTGAGACGTTTGTCCATTTGTCCCTCAGAACGTCCTGTAGTTTATCTCTGAGCTCTGACACAGCCGCTGTCACATCCTCAAAGTACCTCAGAGGACGGATATTGATGCTGGATGTAGATTCACTGAGTGCTGACAGTGAGGGGTAGTTGTGTAGAAACTGGGTGTGGTCCTCTGTGTGTGACAGATTCTTCATCTCAGCGTCTTTCCTCTTCAGCTCAGTGATCTCCTGCTCCAGCTTCTCCTGAAGCTCTTTGACTCGACTCACTTCAGTTTCCTGCTGGGATCTGACCTGCTGCTTCACATCAGAGCTTCTTTTCTCCATGAGACGGATCAGCTGAGTGAAGATCTTCTCACTGTCCTCCACTGCTTTATCAGCAGAGCGATTGATAGCCTCCACCTCCCGTTGAAGCTCCTTCACATCTTTCTCTCTGTCCTGGATTCTCTGCTGGATGTTTTGTCGACTCACCTCGAGCTCTCTCTGCCTCTCAGTCCTTTCTGCTGCAGCTGAGACTGTGTCGTGGCCTTTATGTTCATCCACAGAGCAGAGATAACAGATACACTGCTGATCAGTACGACAGAACATCTTCATCACCTCATCATGACGAGAGCAGATGTTCTCCTGGAGCTTCTTGGAGGGGTCCACCAGCTTGTGTTTCTTTAATGGAGCCACATCATAATGAGGCTGGAGGTGTTTCTCACAGTAAGAAACCAGACAGACCAGACAGGACTTGAGGGATTTCCGTTTTCTCCCAGTGCAGAAATCACAGGCCACATCTTCAGGTCCAGCATAGCAGAGATCAGCAGGAGCAGCTTGGAGTCCAGTCTTCTTCAGTTCCTCCACTAAATCTGCTAACATGGTGTTTTTCCTCAGGACAGGCCTCGGTATGAAGGTCTGCCTACACTGAGGGCAGCTGTGGATTTTCTTCTCATCCTCTCCATCCCAGTGGCTTTTAATACAGTTCATGCAGTAGCTGTGCCCACAGGAAGTAGTCACCGGATCCTTCAGTAGATCCAGACAGATCGGACAGCAGAATCTTTCTCGGTCCAGCTGATCTCCTTGCTCCGCCATTTCCCCTCTCAGTGCCAGCGACTGTCTGAGTTTCATTTACTCAGAGATGAAACTAGTTTGAGCTCTTATCTAATCAACAGGTGTTTCTGCAGCGAATGGGGGCTGTCGGCTCTTTCACGTGACCACATGTTTGTTACACCCATCTTCAAACTGTAGATCTAAAGGGGAGGGAACAACGACATATGTGTGCAGAGAGGTGCTCGCTGTGTTTGAGAGCAGGAGGAAGAGGGAGCGGTTATCAAGCTGTTAATCATTTCAGGAAGAGGACCAGCGCTGTGGACTTTGTTCTTCACTGACCTCTGCCTGGTGGAGAACACAGGTTTTTTTTCCTGTTTTTTACAGATTTACATTTCCAAACTTTCGTTTCACCACATGTGAAAGAGATTCTCTCTGCTGTTCACCTTCTCAAGAGTCTTATTGATGTCCTCCTGCAGTTTGTCCAGGTAGCTCTGCAGAGACAGGAGAGGACACACCAAGACAGCGTACAGAAACAGGAGTGTATATATGGAGTGTGTTCAGCAGCAGCTCTCCATCTGTTTATGCTCTAAAGTCCAAGTCGTGTGAGTCCACTCCACATCTCTGCATCCTTTTATCTTCTTTAACATTCTTCCAAGCTTTTCCAGTCACTCCGTTCCTCAGTATGTCATCTAATGCATAAGTACATAAGTTCTCAATGTTCAATCAGGTCTTGCCCCCTCCACGTGAGCACATGGAACAAATATGTGTGTATATAAAAAAATACACTATATAAAAATGTGTATTGTCCAAATAAAACACAATAAATTAATTAAAGCTGCAAGCAGCGTTGGGTGGGACCTCGCACTCCACGCAACTCGGGGCGTGCTGCGGCCGCGCCGTGTGCCGTCGTAACACATGCAGACTACAACATGAAAATCTGCCGTTAATCAGCTCAAAATCGCCACGCAGCGCTTACTTCCTGTTGCCAGTAGGTGGCGCTATCACTATGTCTGAATATTGTCATGTACACGTGTTCAGGGGGGGACTGTTATCAAGCATTTGAAGTGTGGAGCCGATTGGACAATGTACACTCAAGTTATAGCGAATTCGTGTTTTGTGGCGGTCCATCAAAATTTCCCGCCACCCCACAGACACGCCCCTTCACCACAGTCAACACATATCATTAACAATGTGTTTTGCATTTTATAAGTAAATTTCAGCTGGATCTGATCATCCTGTGAGGAGTAGAACATGAAAGTATAAATTGTGATACTTCCTGTTACCAGTATGTGGCGCTCCCACTATGTCTGAATATTGTTATGTAGACGTGTTCAGGGTGGGACACGTGAAGTTTCATTGAGATTGGATCATGTATGCTGAAGTTATGAGGACGTGTTCAGGGTGGGACTGTACACTGAAGATATGAGTACTATCTGTTGATGGCCAATCAGTGGAATTTGACGCGTCGTCAGGGGCCCACAGTTAAACGTACAGTCACAAATAGCACAACTTTTGATAACCAATGTGTGTAGATTGCAGTGATCGAATTTGAAGTCAATCTGATAAAATCTGTAGGAGGAGTTAGTTAAAACAGAAGCCCTTAAATGCCGGAAATAGCATCACAGTTTGACATTCGATTCAACCTGGCCAACTTTGAGGGAAAGCCACAGACACGCCCTTTAACGTACAGTCACAAATAGCACAACTTTTAATCAGCACCATTTTTTGACTGTACTCACAAATTTTGAAGCAGAACCGACGAATTCCCTAGGAGGAGTTTGTTCAAATACAACGGGAAAAGTTCGCCGAAAGTGAAAATCAAAATCAAAATGGCCGACTTCCTGTGGGGTTTCGGGTATGGGTCCAAGAGGCTTTTTTGTACGTCCCAGCATGTTACACGTGCCTACCGAGTTTCGTACATATCGGTGAAACGTGGCGCCGTGGCTGCTGTTTTTTTTATCCTGTAGGGGGCACTACACACACGACAAATACGATTTTTGGTACGTGAGCTACAGGCACTACTCTACACGTGCCCTGTGAATTTCATACTCATAACTATTACGGTCTCCGCACAGTGATTTACCCTGCCACCTGAGCGCCACCTAGTGGCGGATTGTTGACACATTTTTTAGCGAGTCTCAGGGAGCCATGGGGAAGCCAATTGGACCTGGCCACATTTAGTAGTGCAATGGGTCACACTATTACGCTTTCAGCACACACACACACACACACACACACACACACACACACACACACACACACAATTCAGCAACTTCCAACTCTCAGATTTGCATCACTTTGGATATTTTTTACCTGCTTTGTAAAATATACAAACTGTGATGTGCATTGCCTCCAGACAACACACATTTTCAAGCTACACATTTGTAAACACGTTCATTTGACACCTTTATATAGAACTATATATATATATATATTTATATACATATATATACTATATTTGTTGAATTATGTGTGTTTTAGTAAAATTTATAGCACCTGTGGTCTTCCCGGTCAATTAGAACGGGCCACATTTAGTGGTGCACTGGGTCACACTATTACGCTTCCAGCACAACACACACACACAGACGCACACAGAGACACACACACACACACACACACACACACAACATACACACACACACACTTCAAAACAACATCCAACTCTCAGATGTAAATTACTTTGGTTAACAGAATTTGTAAATTTGTAAATACAACCTATGATGTGCATTCGGCCTCCAGACAACACACGATTACGAAACTACACATTTGTAAACACGTTCATTTGACACCTTTTATGTGGTACATCTTCAAGGAACTACACCACCTTAGACTCAACTGACTCTGACATCCTTGATATGCCTTTCTCCAACTGGGGACGAGATAAAATAAACAAAAACTGAGCTGATAGTACAGCATCCTCGAGCATTTCACATTTCGCTCTGAGACAGACAATGAAGAGGACCTTGCTTTGCAAATATATATGTTTACTGAACTTACTGATTTATAAATATAATTGCATCAGTCAATTTTGACCTGGGGATATCTTGGCTAATATTTGACACATACCTGTCAGTGATTATCCAAAATAACTAAACATTTCTGCTTATTTTGTTCAAAAACATGGTATAATTTCATGTAAATTAGGTTTATTGTCCTATTTATGGACAATAACAATAAAGGTGTAAAAGAAGTTTAAATAACTTTGGTTTGGTAATGAGTTGGAAAGAACTTGGCTAAAAATATGGAACACAGAATGGTGTGATCATTTTAACTTTATAAACAGTCAACTAGATGGGTCAATTTGCCCGGAGGACACAGGTGTTATACTATTTGCTGCCATTAAAAATTGAAATGGTTTAAACCATATCCTGACTAACTTTGACATATACCAGTCTGTGATAATGCATCAACATATGTGCCTCTGATCATAACCATCGTCAAAATAATTCACAATTTGTGCTTTTTTTACTCAAAAATGATTTGTAATTTTATGTAAATTAGGTCTATCATACCATAAATTACAAAAATAAGTGTAAAATATATGTTAAAGTGTTGGAAACAAGTTCACTAAAAAGGTCAAACTAAAAAATTGGTGATCATTTTATACCTCATGCTTTATAAGCAGTCAAAACAGACCGGGTCAGTTTGACCCGGGAGGACAAAAGGTGCATAGTAAACGGGAAGACAATACGAGGGTTAAGGAAGACATGTGGAACTATGGACCCAAGTTTGGTGTCAATCGGAATACCAATGTGGAGAAATGGTCCACTTCCTTTTTTGACAAAAAATCTACAGGAAGTTGGAATTTTAAAGCGTTCTTATTTTTTGAAATTTCAAAAATGTTCAAATTACTCTTTTTGCCAGCCAAAAATTTCGTGTGAATCGGACAAAGCGTGTAGGAGGAACACGAAAAAGTAGTTTAAGGACATTTCGCGCTCTAACGAAAAAAAATTATAGTCGGAAGTGGGCGGGGCCTATATAGGAAGATTCAGCTCCATTCACCGAACGCGTGGATACAAGATTTATGAATGTGCGACAAACTATGCAGAAGTTATGCAGAAGTTAGGTCCCTAATAATAAATAATACAATCTCAAATAACACATATGAGAGAAATAAAGTTCAGTAACACTGTAACACAACAACAGAACACCACTGTAGCTGTTTCCGGTGGTTCTTCAAAATAAAAAGACAGAAGTTAGATATTAAGCTACCGTAGACAGTGAAATTAGTCTATCTTGTGTTTGAGATTTTTCTGTATTAGACGACACCCGAAAGAAAGAAGATAAGAAAAAAATATGGTCCGTGTGAGTTGCCAGGATGCCAGTAAATTATTTTTCTACTCTTATTTTGGTGGCAGTAACATCCAATTTCCGGTAGCCAACGCGCTGCAATTTTTTTTTTGTGATTTTTACTTGTTATTTAAAACAATTACCGCTTTTACTACTTTATATTATATTTTTCAGGCACGTTTATGTCAAGCGGTGATTTAAAACTCATCGTTTTTAGCAGCAAATGAAGCGGAATGTAAAGACACCACCGGCAGCCAGGGCGAAGGGGGGGAATGTTTTTAAAGTGACACAAGGTGCAGGGTGAAAGTTGAAGGGGAACATGGCATTTAGCATCAGTGCTAAACATGGATTATTAAGCAGTAAAACCTCGTTGTATCGCGCTCTTCACAGACAGATATCACCCAACAGGATCCAGAGTGTGAGAGCGGCGAGCAGCGCGACAGCAGACTCACAACTCACCGAGAAATACTGTCTGGAGCTGGTCAGGTGGGTCTGACTGTACACAGGCTAAAGTAAAGCTAATCCGAAGATAGTCTACTCTTAATTTAACAAATATAACTGCTTAATGTACGTTAGGATACTCCCACATATCCCTAATAAAAGATTTATCATATAAAAGTAAGTATAAAGTATAAAGTTCTGTTGTGAGACACCTTCCGCGCCAGACTCCATTCAAATATCTGGTGTAAATATAAACAATGCTATGATTTATAAAACTTTAAAATGTGTTTTGTAAAGTTTAATTTGCTGTGTGAATATGTATTGTGCAATGTTTAGTTCGGCATATTCAGGTTGACCGAGAAGCATGCATTTAAATATAGTTTCAGCTTTTTAAAATGAATCTTCCACCATTCAGTACTGACACAAACATTCATATATCGACTCATCCTGATGAAAACTCTGTTCCAGCTCCTGAAATCAGTTTTTTTATTAACATCTCTAAATCAGATCTACCTGAGAAATGTGATATATATTTAAAAACTGAACAAAATCACTATTTTATTTAAAGAGCTTTAGTTAGAGGCAGTCTGGGTGGTGGATGGTGGATGGAGGCGTGTTTGTAGTGTGTACTTTAGTTCTTAAAACGTTTAAATTAATATGAAAAATGACGTCAGAGACATTGTACAGAAGCAGCAATGTAGTGAAGACATTATGATTATGGAAAAAATTATCCTCAAAATAAAGAATAAAATGGAAATATATAACTTTGGAAGAATGACACCAACTGCATCTGCCTCCTACCTGTCCTCCCCCTGCCTCTCTCTCTCTCTCCCCCTGCCTCTCCTCCTCCTCCTCCTCCTCCTCCTCAGGTCCAGAGACTATGACGGCTTTGTGTCCTCCCTCCTCCTCCCAGAGGAGGCGCGGCGCTCCTCTTTGGCTCTGAGAGCCTTTAATGTGGAGCTGGCTCAGGCAGGTATTCCTACAGTCAGGCTGGATGGGAAATGATTACTGATACTACTACTGATGCTCTCGTTGCTATAATAATAATAATAATAATAATAAAAAAGCTGTGGATTTAAAAGTATACAGTGTTTAATTTATGATGTAAGTCCTTTTTAAACTATCTTGTCAAACAGATGTCCGTCTAATGTTTGTTTCTCCACCAGGTGAAGGACTCCGTTTCCCAGAAGACCATTGGTTTGATGCGAATGCAGTTCTGGAAGACGGCCATTGAAGACATCTACAGAGACGATCCTCCGAACCAGCCCGTCACTGCCGAGCTGTGGAGGGTAAATATCACAGACGGAAACTTACTAACACAAGAAAAAGTTGTTAGGATGTGTCATTACTTTAAATGTGTTTAACATCAACATCAGTTCTTCTGAATGTATTGAGTTTGAGTTTAAACCTGATAACCCATAATTACCTGCTTCTCGTAGTCAATGTCGATAAGATAACTGATCATTTTAGATTTAGTTTCTGCACACTTGATGGTAAGAAAGGTTGATATATAGTGACTGTCACTGTTGTTAACAAACTATTCAAATGTAAATGTATAGTTTACTTCTTCTAGTTATCAACACAACAAACATACTTCCATAGAACATAAAACCTATCAAATGATTGGATAGTAATTCAAAATACATATTTTCTTCTTATATATCGGCTATAAATTAATTATAGGAATAATACATAATAATATACATTTATATATATCCTTATTTAAAATGTGCCATACAGTCTTTTTCTGCACCTCAGCTGATTCACAGTGTGGATGATGTCTTTCAGGCGGTGAGGCAACATTACCTGACAAAGAGATGGCTACTGAGGATCATAACAGAGAGAGTAAGACGTGTGTGTGTGTGTGTGTGTGTGTGTGTGTGTGTGTGTGTGTGTGTGTGTGTGTGTGTGTGTGTGCTGTGTCTGAGAATGTGAATGTCTGTGTGCAAAGTCCAAATATGTCTAAGAATGCTGAAATGACTCATGCAACCATACACACATTCTCCTCACACAGACAGACAGACAGACAGACAGGCACACAGTGGAGGCTGCCTCGCTGCACCTCATGATCTCGTCTGTCCACTCGTCCTTTCCTTTCTCAGGCGGTGGGGGGGGGGGGACAAGACAAACCGAGGAGAGAGAGTTTCAGTTCCAGTATAGAAAGCCCTCCACCAGCTAGCATTTTCTCATTTGTGTCTTGTCCAATAGAACATTTGAGAAATATCTTACTTTGAGTATTTTACGTCATGAAAACTGTCTCACCAGGAGAAGGATCTGGATGACCGAGCCTACAGAAACCTCCAGGAGCTGGAGGCGTATTCAGAGAACACGCAGTCCTCCTTGTTGTACCTGCTGCTGGAGAGTTTAGGTAAGGGCAGGTGAGACTTGTTGAGAACGTGTTTAGTTTGTTATTTCCAACAGGAGAATTCAGATAAATAAAACAAATCCCAAACCATCTGTATTAATGTTGTTTTTGCAGGGTTGAAAAATGTCCACGCTGACCACGCAGCGAGTCACATCGGTAAAGCTCAGGGAATCGTGACGTGTCTGAGAGCGACTCCTTATCACAGCAGCCGACGGAAAGTCTACCTGCCCATGGACATCTGCATGCTGGTGAGTGATATCGGTTGTTGTTTAGCCCTGAAGTAGCATTTTACCAAACAGTTCCCATTAATTTGTGTGTTCATGTTTTATGTATTGACCTGTCGTGCACAAAAAATCCCTTCAAAGGTGTAGAGATGTTTGTTTACTATAAACTGAGCGTATACTGTGTACTGGATATCATTTGAGCCTTGGTACCAGTACTCAAACAGAAATATGTTTTAAACCCGTATTATCATTCAAGAAAATAAGCCAGACTGCTGCATCAGGGATAAACACAGAACTATGGCTAGATAAAATTTACTCGGAAGTTAGGAAAGTTTCCTGATGTAGAAAGAACCGAAACCCGAGTAAACACGCCAGACATCCAGTGCCGGCTTTCAGTATTTGACGTCTACAGACTCATTCCGGTGAATGCTCGGATAGTATTGAGGATCGATATCCAGCTGTAATCTTCTCACAGAAGGAAAGATAAGGATTTTTTTAAGTTAAAGTTAAAGATATATTCTGAGTGAAAATCCTCTAAAACTGTTCCATCTGTAGAGAATGTATATGTATATTTTAGATTTTAATGATCTATCAGTTAATTTGTTTACCCTCAGGGTTCCCATGTGTCCTGGAAAACCTGGAAATTTAGAGAATAGTTTTCCAGTCATGGAAAGACCTGAAATTTTATGAAAATGACCAAAAATCCTGGAAATAATTGATGTTGTCCTGGAAAATTTGAATAGTATTTTATCACTTTGCCTAGATCGCCTAAGTAAACCTCTGTGTCTATTTTGTTTGAAACTCAGCCTTTGGTGGGATAAAGTTCAAACCTGGTTTACCAGATGCTTAATGGACAAACACTGTGTATATATATACATATAGGCTTTTAATGATCATATTTGTTGTCCATGCACAGCAGTGTTGGTGGTATGTTTCCAATAAACGCTGACCACCTGCCTGTAATGGACCTGAGACACGTCATCATGAACCCTGAATCATGAAAAAAGTAAATACTAGGGTTGGGCGATATGTTAATATAATAATACATATGATTTTATATATATATATACAATATATATATATATATAATAGAATACTGGCCACCGTCAGTCCAATAATCGCTGATTGCCGATGATAATTGCACATGCGTAAGTGCTGCAGCGACAAAATATTCTGGCTCTACGCGCTGTTGCAGCCTCTCTGATGCCCCCGACCTCCCTCGCTCCTCTACCACTTCATGCTTCTCCTCACCTGGTCTGCCCCTGCAGTGTCCTCATCTTCCCTAGAGTCTTGTTAGGAGCCTCTCCAACTCACCTTGTTACTGTAGTTATCGTCTAAACCCTTAATTCACTGCAGTTAGATGTGAAAAGACACTGGCTCTACAGCTGTTTTTGCTCTCACTCGTTCTTTGGCTCAGTGGGTGTAGTGCACCGCTGAACGTTTGTCCCTGAGCAGCTCTCATTCTTCAGAGGCAGAACATTAAATCAGCAAAATAAAATGACAAAAAAGCCCCAAAAGACAAAAAAACAAGTGGTGATGGACTCGCCGATCCAATGGCCCAACCCTAGTCAATGCTAGGCCTGCTGGTCAAAGATATGACCGTTTGGGAGCAAGTGCTCTCCTGTATTCCCAATAGAAACACCTGGAAAATGTCCTAGAATGGACCTGGGAAAGGATTTCTGAAGTGGAAACTCTGACCTTGATTAGGCACACTGAGTAAATTAACTCAGTAGAGTGATCATTAGATTCTTCAGTGTTAATAACTTCCACACCAGCAAATCAAATGAGCTCAACCCTGTGTATGAGAAAATACACAGCACTATGTTATTCTATTGAAAGCATTAATTTAACGTGGATGTTCGAGTCTGGAGAGTCCTGCTGTACTGTAACCGAACAGCCGTGAAGCTCTCGCTCACTCAGCTGGTTTAAAGCCCAAATTTTGTTCCCAAAGATGACATAAGGAAGTCCCACACATGCATTCACACAATTGACTGACTCATAGCTTGGCTTTGGACATGTCGGAGGATATTCTTGTAGAAGCGGTAATGAAACCGTCCCAGGGAGCGTTACACAACATCCATATGGCAAAAAGCGGAGAGCCTCGGAGTTAAACCCTTCCTGCCTGAGATGCATACACGCTGCAGATAAACAAATGATGCCGCAAACAATTTGCAACCTTTTATCTGAGTCACCTGCCCCACATGGAGAACAACATGCTGCTGCTGCTGGAGGATCTGGTGGGTGGAGGCGGGTGTATATGCAGTGCAGATGTTTTTGGGCATGAAGCACGCAGGCTCCGCCCTTAAAATCTTCAGCCGGAGGATGGCACTTTTGACCCGAGGCCTTCCTGAGCTTGCTCACCTCACATCACCTCCACTCTTCTGCCTGAAGAGGGCGCTGTTGACATACTGAATTACCCTGCACACACACACACGGACCAGTAAGCTCATGTTCTCAAATCCAGTGTGACTAACACATCACTGAAAAAGTCATTAATTAACAAGCAGGAGTCAACTATGCAGAACTCAGCAGGCAAACAACAGATGGAATCAATTTTCCTGTGATACTCGACTGATTGTGAATGATGGAGAATCACAGAGGAGACACATGAGCTGAGGAGGGAAGAGAAAAAACAGATTTCCTCACTCTCATTTAAACGAGGGTTCTCAACCTGAGGGTCGGCACCCACGAGAGAGAATATCCGTGGGTCTTCAAATGGTTGCGGGGAAAATAAAAACAGTGCGGAATGAGAGAGAAGAGCAGCTCTCAGTGTTGTTATATACTACAGGCTCCAACCTGTTATACGTTAACAAACCCAGTTCCCTCAGTTACATATGAATATTTTTGTATCATCGTTCCTTAAGGCTTAAAGAAGACATTGTGACTGCTGACAGTGATTATAGCCAAAACCAAATTAGTTTTTGTTCTGTCTGTGGGCGAAGCAATGGTGGTAGCTTTCATGCGTTACAGTAATCCCTGAACAGACCAGACTTTGGGGGGGGCGTTCAGAACGGCTGATTTAAACAGACGATGGTCGCGGTGCATCCAAAATCACATCCTTGAATTTATTCATACAGAATTACCAATTTTCTTTTCATTACTGCATTAGCCATCATAATGGTAGTCCATAATGACAAAGTAAACACTTTGTCTTGCAGCTGAAAGTGTCGTCCTATTTCTTATTTTTGGATGTATAACTCACATTTCCTGTTTGGGGAAGAGAAAAAAAAAAGAGTAGCTGTCAAATCATCTTAGTGTTTTGTCCTCAGTGAGACAGTTGACAGGTTGAGAGGGGGTGGATGGATACATGGATGGTGGTGTGTGTGTATGTGGGTGGGCAGGTGAGCTGGTTAATGTGAATTATATATAAGGCTGCTGTTTGAGCTGTTAATCAGCCGACACATTGAAGTAGGCTGAATCAATTCATCTGAAACCACTGCCCTCTTCACACCCCCTTTAGTACACACTAGACGTACACCTGGAGTACTGATCAAGGATCAAGGTAATTTATTTATCATTATAAAACAAGGTAATGTGTTTATCATTATACAACAAGACTGTATAATTAGATCAGAGATTGTGGTCCCTTCATGCTACACACATAGAACACAACAGATGTTTAAATATATTTCAGAATAGAGTAAAATAAATAAAACAATATAAAAAATATATACACTTATTTATATACATATACACTCAGGAAATCATTCTGCAGTGTATTTTATGGCTGTGCGTCTGGTTGAATGTAAACAGCAGCAACAAGATAGGATGATGATAATATGGCTTCATATTCACATAAAAAGAGTGTCCATCCACTTTGACTGTGTTTAAGCATCATTGTTGTAAACTCTCGTCTCTCTGCGCTCTGTCGGCTCTGAACACAGTCCACCCGTCGAGTGCTTGATCCAGGATGTTGATGGAGCAGGTCTCTGTAAAGATGTGGGCACAACAGTCTCTGATTTCCTGTTGTTTGGCCAGCCTAAATCCCGTTTCGTCCAAACCGGACATTAGCCAGGAGCAGACAAGCCAATCTGGGCCAGGAATGGCTCCTATCCCGGATCTCTTACTCTCCTCTTGGGACAACAGCACCCTTCTCTGGTGGGCTGGTCCTGTTGATCCGGCTGGCTGGATCGTCTCAAAGTCCACTGCTCTGTAATCCAAACCCCACTCTTCCTTTTCCAATGACTGTAGGCTATCTGTCATAGCTGAAACTTGTTTAAAGCCGGAAAAAAACAGATGAAAACAAAAATGTTGCGGCTGTGCTGGGCTAATTTTGGCTTAGCCCTTTAAAATCAAATCCAATCGGACCTCATTCAATAAAAGTACACTCATTAATTAACACCTTATATCTTGCTTGTTTAGTCCGTACAAAAAACAAAGTGCAGAGAGTGTCTGCTGCCTCTCACACATCATCACAAAACCATCAAAGCCTTTAATTATGCTATTATTAATGACGCGTTTATGTGTACTTAGCATTACACTGTTGTTAAGGTGCAGCTAATTTAACCTACAGTTCAGTCTCTAACTGTGCTGAAGCCCCGATGTTAAACACTGAGAGTCTTTCAACTGGTTTTTAATTCAAATGAACCTGTAAAAACTGACTGTGTCTTGAAATATTAAGGCGTGTCACCGCACTAGAAGACAAATGACATTTGATTTCAGAAATTACCTGAAGCAAATGGATTTGCATTGAAAACAGGGTGGAATATTGTCCCTGCTCTGATGAATACTTTCACATGTTTTAAGAAAATAAGAGGGTAGGACTAAAATGATTTGAAAAGAAGGAGATTTATGCAGAGAACAAATGCATAATGATTTCAAATGTGATTGAATGCAGCAGGTACATTAATGGTTTTATTGTTTCGTCCATTGAGTCGTGATTGCCAGGGCAACAGTACATGTTTCCGATGTGGCAGCGCTCACTCACCTCTCTTCGCCTCTCCTAAAATATATTCCAGTATAACCATCATCCATCACTTCCCAGCCGAAGACTTCCTCAACCCTCAGGCAGTTTCTCCCATTCTGTTCTCGGAGCAGGAATTGGCCTGTTGTTAGTTCCCATATGAGAGAAAAAGATGAGGTCAGATCACTTCGCCCGAGAGCCTTGTTTTAGTCATCACTTCCTGCAGGTCTGAGGTGTTGAGAAAATAATATACGAGTGAAGAAATGTAATTCCATGTGTTGCAAGGTTTTACACTTGCACTGAATTGATTCTTCCTCTTTCTGCTCGTCATTCTTGAGATGATCTCGGAAACATTTAGTTTCAAGTGACCAACCTGCACATGAATAATAATGTTTAATTAAGGCTCACATTTTCACAATTTCACAAATTGTATTATTACGTACGTGGAATATTTTATTTAAATACCAAGCATGAAAAAGTCCTCCTGTGTCGGTTGAGTGATACATACAATGAAAACATTCCTGAAAACATTTTTTAAAGCTTCACATACTGAGGACATTTTTTTAATAATTGAAAATCCTTGTGACAGTTCTTTTAAGGTGAAACTCATGAATGAAGGTGAAGACTACTGGTTAGTGTACAAAAACATTTCATCAGTGTTACTGTGACACAAATGTTACAGTTTAGTGTCCGATGTGATAAAAACTGACAGTAGTTACACAGTTCAAACGCATCCTGGAAAATCAAAATGACCAAATATCCTGTAAATAATAAATTTTGTCCTGGAAAATTATATTTAAGTTTTAGCCCCTCACTCAGATTACGTAAACCTGGGTGTTTATTGGGTTTGAAACTCAACTGTTGAATGCTACTTTTTTAAATTTCTGTTCCCTTGTCAGTTAAGAGTTGTTCACACAACGGGAAGCAAACTTTTCCCGTCAAGTCTATTTTGGAAATGCTGTAAACCAGGAGTCAGCAACCCAAAGAAAAGAGTCTGTTTGGAGCCAAGAAACAATATTTTAGCCTTATAATGCTGCTTTTGTCACTGCGGATCAAGCATACTAGTAAGCCAGCAGCAAACAAATCTTTCTACACACTATTGCACTTTCTTTATTATTATTATTATTATTATTATTATTATTATTATTATTATTATATTTTCCATTTCCAGTGTCATTGGATTTGAGTCCAGAGTTGAACGTTTACCCCTGCAGTGAGTCTGCTGCAGTGTGGGTTGGTCGTACGTCAGTGCAGGGGTGGTGGACCCCGCAACATGATGTCACACTCCTTCGCTGGTTTACCAGAAGGAGGCCCGGAGCAGTTTAATTTTCTTCTTTCAGCAGATTAAAGAGAAGCTTTAGCTCTAATGTGAAGTAGAGCTAAAGTGGATACAGCTGGACTGGAGAGATAGGCTTTGTTGTTAAAAGGACTTACCAACTAACACACAAGTATTGTATGGTTTCTGTGTTTCTGCAGCACGGAGCTTCCCAAGAGGACTTCATCCGCGGCAGCCGGGAGCAGAACGTCCGGGATGTCGTGTACGACATCGCCAGTCAGGCTCACGTACATCTACAACACGTACGTACCACACATAGGTGACACGACTGAGAGTATGTGGACACCTGAACTTAGCGGCCTGTGAGTGATTTCCACCAGATGTTGAAACCGGCTGCAGGGATTTGCTGACATTTGCTGAGGTCCAACACTGATGCTGGGTGATGAGGTCTGTCAGACCAGTCGTGTTCTTCCACAACAAACCGGGTAAACGGCTTCTTTATGGAGCTGGCTTTGTGTTTGAAGGCTTTGTCACATCGAAACAGGAGAGAGACAAATACAAACTGTTGACACAAAGTTGGAAGCTCACTCTTCAGAAGTAAAGAGGCAATCAGGGCTCGTCTGGCGTGTTGCTGCAGTATTCATTGGAGGCATTTACCAGAAGACCTGAGTCATTGATTTCCTTTATAAATGTTCACTAATGAATACACAGGGCACAAAATCCTACAAATAGGTTCTAAAAAACACAAAGAAACAACAGAGGATATCTCAATCTACAAACAAATGGCATAAATGACTTAAAACAATAAACATAAGGCAAAGAGCAGCAGACAGACTGCATAATGAGTACCTGGTTAGAGCTTTCTGCCTCTTAAAAGGAAGTTTGTCTTTGTCTGTAAATGATTTTATAAGGAGTACGATCTAGACCTGCTCTATTTGAATTACTGAGGTAACTTTTGAAATTGTAGTAGTATACAAACAGCACTACAAATGTAGAGATTTTGATAAATTGTAGGACAACAATTTATGGCACAGAGGAAGATGTATGAGGCTTTGATACACACACAGTGTTTTAGATACATTCACTGTTGAGTCCTCCTTAATCTCTCAGGATTTCTAAATTCTTTGATGCATATTCTGCCAAAATATGAAAACAAAAAGTTATCCTGGAAACCGTTTTAGTGGCCGAAACTATTTCAGTGACACAGTAAAAAAAAGTTATTTTGGCAGATATTGTGTTTGTATATCGCAAGTTTAATTTTCACTGAAAAACGATAAAAATCATGATGATTTTTTGGGGTCTGTACCAAAGAAACATAGATAAATAGATAGATACTTTATTATAAATTCAAGCATCCAGTAGCATACAAGACAAGGGTGACCCCAATTCACTTTTGTCATGCGAGTAAATAAAAGTTATTTATTTTCAATGTACACTCGCACCCCATCTTGACAAAACAGAAATGTAATTAAATTATTAAGAAACTAATATACTGGATAGTATTCCCCGTGTATTAGTGAAGACCTTAGCTACACGCCACTCTTATATGCAACAAGTCACCTATTATCCTTGCCGTCCTTCATCCTTAGTCTGTCGGTTGATGGTAACAGCCATACATGCCATTAGGTGTCGGCAGGTCGTGTGATTGTTATTTTAGTGTGTGTTGGTTTTTGTTAATAACCTTCGGTCGGCACTTGGCATATTCTCGGGAATTTCCTCATGAACGCGCCTGCCCGGCTAAAACACCCATGCCTAGTGCACCAGTCTGTTGGATATTGGTATAGGGCCTGGTTACACCGCTAATTAGAGTTAGACAAAGTGTCCTTGTTTTGGATTGGTATTTGCTCCCTACCAGCCCACTGCGCTGCGAAACGTACTCCCAGCTAGGATCTTTGGTTTACCCCGCTCTCCAGTGGCTTGCGCTGCCCAACTTCCATATTAGCCACCTTGAAAGGGCAATTTTAACCTTGCCAGTGCCTAGCTAGCCTGGGCCCACCTCACTCTCTGACATGCACTGTGAGCTGTAAGGTTTTATAAAAAGGGGTGTGTCCCTTTCCTTCACACCCCCAAATTATTTTAATAAAAAAAAAAAAAAAAAAAAAAAAAGAAAAAAAAAATAAAAGGGGAAAAAAAAAAAAAAAAAAAAAAAAAAAAATAGTGTCACGGGGTCTGAATACTTATGACCATGTGATATTTCGTTTTTTTTTAATAAATTTACAAAATTCACATTTCTCGATGGGGTGCTGGACATAATGAAATAAATATTTTGTTTTGAAATGGCTGCAGAAAAGGAATTTAAAGGGGTGAAATTTCTGTACATACACATACATGTTTTCTTAAATCTGGAGAACAAGGTTTGTAGACCAGGACATCTTTTCAGAGCTACATCGCTTCATTATTTTGCTGTTTTGTCACATTTTACCTTCATCAAAAACCTGCAACTTCTGCGATTTGCATATTAAACTTGGCCATAGTGCTTTCAACAATATTTCAATTAATTGTGCAACCCTAATTACAGTTAAGTTGCACAAGCTTACAGCATACGTGTGTTTCCGGCTGATGCCTCGGCAGCAGCTGTTGACTGAAATTAAAGCTCACTTCAGAGACGAGGTAAAGTGAAATCCACGTCAGCAGTAGTTGTGTTTTGTAACGCACTTGAACACCTCTTAAGCCACTTAGCGAGAGCTCGAACAGCGGGAACAAAATGGCGTGCCATTTTTAAAATTCAAATGAACATCCGTTTGATGCTTTGGCATGCAGTGTTCTTCAGCTTGCAAATATCTGCACCCACAGTGTGGTGGCTAATTTAAAATGTCCGTAGTCTTTAGTTTTAGTGCTAACTTAGTAATGCAGCTCCGGTGAGTTGGGACTAATTGGTTTAGAGATTTATTAGCCGCCACTTATAGGCCTTATTGAGTTTTGTACTTTTGGAGGCTTTCTTCATTAAGCTGCTGCCCAAACATTCATCAGCTTTTCTGCTTTATTTGAACCTTGTTTATACCAGTTAGGACTGTTCCTAATTGTTAAAGCACTTGTGATTATACTGAGGGTAATCAATAAGGATATAAATGAGGATTGGCTTCCCCTCTGCGTGTGTGTTCACTGTTTACTGTCCTTTATGTTGTCTTCTACTGTCTGTGTCAATTAGAAAAGTGCTATGCTAATTAACTTAATAAGAACAAGAGAGGAGTTTTATACAGAAGTTATGTGAGTAATTAAACATCTGCTGGCTCCAGTGTTTAATTCATTCTGATTATAATTCATACAGTACGCACATACACAACTGGGAAATTAAATAGGGTTCCAGAGGCCAATTAGGACGCTAAACGTTAAAATACGCCTCCAAAAACTCATTTACGTATACATATCTATACATAGATGAATGAAATGACTTTTGGGGAGAAGTGTGTGTCTGTAGGGTGTGTGTCGTGTCAGAATGTGAGAAATGAAATGGAGCCGAGTGTGATACATTGATTGACTGCAAGTCAAACACATGGTGCAACTAGTTGTTTAAAGTAGTTTTTAGTTGTTGAGCTAGTGTGTTCGCTAGTGCTCGTAATGTAGTTAATAAGTACCACCAATAACTGCAATGGTACATGAAGGCCCTTTTTGTCTGTTGACTGAGGAACGAGTGCTGCTCAGACGCTGTCGGGAACCGTGGGGCAGTTATGGAGAGCGGTTTCTGTCTCCTAACTTTATCTGTGACGGAAGATTTTAAATCTAATATATAACTGATCATTAACCACAGTTCAGTCAGGACCACCTTTGGAACGTAGGACGACCCAGAGGGTAAAGAACAGAGCAGTCGGTGGCAACAGAGACGACACTGATTAAATCAGGGGTTGTAAAGCAGGTTGCAGAGGAAGCAGCAAAGGCAGGCGGGCTAAAGCAGGTCAATACGAAGGTTTAACGGAGGAGTAACCACACTGTCTGACCCACTTCTCCACAGATAATGGTTGTGATCAACAGTCGACAACTCTAGAAAACCAACCTGAAGATGCTCTTTCACACATAACTCTTGTTTTTGAAGCGTGGCTCTCTCGGTGTGGATGCATTCGGAGGATTGGACATCGACCGACTTGTTTTCCTGTTTGTTTGACTTTTGTTTGTTGTGCTCTCTCTTTCAGGCGCGATCATTTAGCAGCAACGTCCCAGCAACTGCCACTCCAGCCTTCCTCCAGACCGTAAGTCTGAAAACATCTAATAGGATGATTGTAGCAGGCTGTGGGACAAACTGAGGGTGGTGTGTTTGTGTGTTTGTGTGTGTGTGTGTGTGTGTGTGTGTGTGTGTGTGATATAAAACCACTGATATCTAAATAATAATCTGAAAGTCGCTAGTAGATCATTTAAAAACATGTCCTATGATGACTCGGATCTTTAATTAAGCCTTTATGAAAAGCTTTATGTAGCAACTTTGAAATACATTTATTCAAATAAATTAAATAGGACACAGAGAAGGGACAAACTTCCACCAAGGCATTTCAAAAGCTTTCAAGTTTTCTGTTGCACCCAAACACATCTTTATCACGAGTTAGATAGACTTTCTCAAACATCTCTCTCTGGAAGACCAAGGCTCTGTCTCTGTTAGATTTAAAGTTGCGGCTGAAAAAGGAAATCAATCAGATCAACATCACCAAACTTTAATGAGACGCTCCTCAGCCTGAGGCCGACCACTGAGACCTGCACGTTTTTCTATATTTCTATATTTTATATTTCCAAGCTGATATTCAGATGAACCCACACTCAAACATAATGCCCTTGGTGTGGATGACTCATTGCTTTTCTCTGTTTGGATGCCAGATTTTGGGTAAGGTCATGTACCAGGGTTTGCAGGCTTGCATATTAACTAGCAATGAATGCACGTCAGGCTTGTTTTAGAGCAGCAGGAGGTGAGTGCTGCTGACAGTGAAAATACACAGAGAGAAACACTGATGTGGTTATTTTGTGAAGGCAATCATTAAAAACAGTGATGGCATTCTGTTTAAAGGAGAAAGTGTTTAGAATTAGAGCACGTTTGTCTCTAGTTTTCCCCCAGGACCAGTTCATCCATCTGTTGCATGAAATTTCTCCGAAAACATTTCTCATTTGGCCCAAAAAAAAAAGATCAGGGAAGGATCTTTTCTCTGTTCTGGGATTTTTAGATAAGACGCTCCGCGGGGGAACGGGCTTGTCGGGCTGTGGCAGTGGTGGAATTTCCCCTGTGGGGATTTAGGGTGGCTCAACAGCACAGCATTTCTCATGTTTTCGTTTTTGGTGCAAATTACTTTGTAAAGGGGAACAGCGGGATGATGCTTCATCTCAGTACCTGCCTGCATTCTCCCTCCTCCTGTAACCCTGTTAACTGGCAACTTTCAGCTGAATAAAGTCCCAATATGTAATATTTAGGAGGAGATATTGGCAGTAATGGAATATAATATGTGTAGGTATGTTTTTATTAGTGTATAATTACCTGAATATAGGAATCACCTGTCGCCAGGCACTGGGTGTAGTTTCTCCTACTCAAAGGCACTTTACATGGTAAGAAGCACAAAGAAAACAGAAACTGCAAACAGTAAACAATATTATTATTAACACATTTATACTTGCATATACAATATGCTGTATATATTTAACTATATATATGGTTGCAGTTTTTGGTTTTTACTGTTTTTATATGCTGTTTTAACTGGAGCCTGCACAAATTCAGAATTTCTTTTTGGGTGCAAGAAAACCCTGAAACACTGATTACTGAGAGCAGTTTACAGTAAATGAGTTTCCTTTGTGTTCTACCTGCTGTTGCCACAAATACACCACAGAGCTGAGAAACACTGTAGTTCTCCTGCACACAGTAAAAACCTCTCCGACCTCCTCAGTGTAGAATTCAGACTGTCATGCTGCAGTGGACCTGGTGGTGCGGCGCAGCTTATTTCTGTGCACACTTGTTCGCACGCAACCGCTCGTAATGAAGCCTGAGAGAGCTGAGACACACCGCCTGGCTTCTGTAGCTCTTTCACTTTAACACAGGAACCTTTATTTAAACCTCGCTGAGCTGAGCCTGGTGGTGCCATTAGAGTCAGGGACAAATATCAAAGCTTTTTGGGAAAACAATATACAGTCTTGTATGTGAAATTCATCATATCATAGATAACAGATTTCTTTAGAAAATACTAAAATCACTGTAGTCAGGCAGATGACTTTAGTTTCTTTTGTTTGCAAAATACATTTAATTCTCTTAAAAAAAAAAAAAAAAGAAAAGCCTGAACCAGACTGAACTCAAACTTCACATTTTTAAAGATTTCTAAAGATGATGCATGCTTGTATCTTTCTGCACTCTAACTCAGAGCGCGGCGCAGTTGGGCCAAAGAAAGGTCGGTCTGATGGCGAGGGAAAGCAGTGAAAGTGTTCCTAATATGATGCACTGATAATAAACTGATTATAGATATTTTTTTATGTGGCTAAAATATTTCTCTGCTGCCTCCATCATTCATAGCTTCATAGCTACCCCACTTCCAAAATACAAAATAAAAATAGCCAACTATCCCTTCAGTGCATCCGTGCACACATAACTTACAGACATATTAATCTATAATCATTTCTTCATTTGCTTCATCATCAGGGTTGTCAACTGAAAATGACAGATGCCTCACTAGCTACTGATCGGTTAGGGCTCGGCCTGGGGCATGTAGCTTCAAAATAAAATCTCTTTTTCAAACCAAAACCAATTTATAAACTTGTTTTTTGTTTCTTAAAAACTGCAACAGACAACGTGTCTTTCACGATGTGACACCTCACCACATCTGGGCCGGCTTTACAGAGTCCTTAGCAGCTGTATATCCCCGCATTATAATATTCATAGTTATCAGTAGTGCTGTCAAACGATTCAAATATTTAATCGCATTAATGTCATAGTTAACTCGCAATTAATCGCACATTTTTATCTATTCTAAATGTCCCTTGATTTCTTTTTGTCCTATTATGTTTTCTCATTTTAATACTCTTATCAACATGGAAAAGTGGATCGGCTTGCTTTGTGCAAATGTTGTTTTTATTGAAAAATCATCCATTGTCGCCTGGCTTTGACGAGGGGGCGGAGAATTCGCATCAGCTGTGTGTTTGGCCATCAAGTGGTATTTCAGACTGGACGTGCTGCGATCATAGCTCAGTTCACAACGACAGAACACACAGATCACTTTGGTCTTGTCAATGGAACCATTTGGCAACTTTTTAAAAGTAAACTTTCCATTCAGAATATTATTGGCATCCATTTCGGCGTCTCGCGCTCGCCATCCACTCAAAACGTAACGTCTACTACTCTTAAACAAGTGTGTGCGGCGTGCCTGTTGTTCTGTTTCCGGTCTAGTTAGATCCGATGTGGTGTTGTAGTTTTTCTAACGTTGTTGCAACAGCATGTGAAAAAAACTACAAAGTTAAACAAACGTTAATCTCGCATAAAAAAATTGACGCCGTTAAAATGGGTTTGCGTTAACGCCGTTAATAACGCGTTTAACTGACAGCACTAGTTTTAATATTGATTAAAACTCCATTTCACTGATTTGTCGCCCAGCTGTAGTTGTAGTAGTACAAAATGAACAGGCTGAAAAGATTAATTATCTGACTAGGAAGAACATCCTGGTTATTCTGAATCCTCTGGGACTCTCGGAGCTCTTTCAGTCACACCGGATGCAAACTAAACCAAACTCTTGTTCTGTGGTGTCGTGTGCTGCAGGTGGTGGTGGAGGACTACCTACAGAGAGTGAGGAGGGCAGATTTCGATGTTTTCAGCCCCAGTCTGCAGAACAAAAACCCCCTCCTCCCCTTCCAGCTGTACCTCCGCTCCTGGAAGAAGACCTACTGACTGTCCTTCACCACCTCCTCCTCTTCCTCCTGCTGTCTCTGAAGGCTGCAGAACTGAAGCCCAGAGTCTTCGCCTCTCTGGGGGGATTCTGCCTGAAGGAACACGCTGTAGCACGTCTATAAAGAAACCCAGACTTGTTCTGAACCACAGTGCTGCAACTGAAATCTGCCTCCTAAATAATAAACCAACAACCACAAACAGCAGCGGACACACAGACTGTCGTTTCTCAACATCTGGTTCACACACCTGCTTTGGTCCTTCAGAATCTTATTTGTGAATGTACGAGGGAAATTTTTTATGGTTTTATGCAAACTTAAAGGATGATTCCAAGGATGATAATGTTTTAACTACCAAGTTAATTACTGAGGTCTTGAAACACTAAAGAGAAGAAACGGGAGCAGTCAGACGATCAGACAAACCAACATATTTGGGAAAATGATTCCTCAAACTGTCCGTTGGTTTCCGCTTCGCAGTACACGAGGAAGAGCCATCTATCTTCATCACATCACAGGGTTGATGTAGAACGATAAAGTCCGAACTTTGAGTCAGATGTTTGTTAGCTAGTGTCGCCAACATCGTCAGCCTTTCCTGACAGTTTAAAATATATGCAGCGGTGGAAGAAGTATTCACAGCTTTTACTTCAGTTAAAGTCCCAATAACAAGAGTTAAAATAGTAAAAGTACTCATTATTTCAGAATAATATATATTATTGGAGTGTAATTATTGATTAATATGTAAACCTCATTAATGTTGCAGCTGCTGAAGGTTTACCGCTGAATAGTTTGATCTATAATAATACATCATGTATTAGTTAATTGTACATTCTGTAATAAACTGAATCTGCAATGCAACAACATCAGAGGTTTAAAGCAGCATGAAACAGAAATCCTCAAGTACTTCTAACTTCACTCAACTATCTGTACTTCTACTCCTTACAATTTCAAAACAGGCTCTGTACTTTTAGTTTTAATGCATTCTTTGTTATTAAGTTTTTGCATCATCGCACGCCATCCCAACGTCAGGGCCAGAGCGTATCACTCCTCACAGACGAGAGAGGGAGACTCTTTTTAAAGATTCAGTTTGCTTTGCACAGAAACAGCCGGTACATTTCAGAGCCTGTTCTTTTTCACTTTTACTTGAGAAAACAATCAGTACTTCTACTTTTACACAAGTATCTGTACTTCTACTTGAGTGAAGTGTGCGTCTGAATAAATGTACTTAGCTACGTTCCACCACACATGTATTTTGAATAACGTAATAGCAACCAATCAGAGGAGAAGAAAAGAAGAAAACTCGGAAGAAAACTAGAAAGATGCTTTGGGTTGGAGGCTTGAAGATAGCTGATTGTCCCACAGCGTCTGTATTTGAGGCCCGGTTCTACTGTCAGGATATAGTGAAAGTTTCAGTGAAATATTTTATAAAAATTGCAGCTTTAACTGCAGGAATGTCAGGAAACAAAGCAGCTGGGTTCCGACTGTAAATACGCTGCTCCATACTGATAAATGGACCACAGGTGAGTTCTGTAGTAATCAACTCGTCACAGCGAGCACACTGTTTCCCTGTGCAATGACGGACTATTACCAACATCTCTCACTTTCAGTTTGACCTCCAAATAAAGTGGTTTAGATAAACTGTTGGTTTGTTCACAACTTGTCTGTTCGCCTGACTGCTCTTGGTGGGAAAAAAACCAGAAAAATAACCCCCACAGTGTAGCGCCTGCAATTATTCTTTCCATTGTTTTATTGCTTCTACCTTCAGAGGAAGACGAAGAGAAAGAAGCGCTGGAAGAAGACAGCAGGAGTGTCAGTCTGTCACCAACATGGCAGATCCTGGTAGAAAAAGCTGCTGTCCAGCCGTGGTGGTTGCTATGGTAACGGAAGACATTTATTTATCCATTACACCCTTCAGTATTTTCATCAGTTTGGTCCCTAATCCCATCCGACTCTTCACTCTCAATAAATTATAAAACTTTCACAGCAAATTACTCGCCATATTTCACCTTCACCGTAATTTGTAGTTCATTTTTTATTTATTTGTTTGTTGCAAGGATTCTGTGATCTTCCCTTTTCTCTCTCGTCTGTCTAATTGTGGCTGCGGAGGAAAATCTCACAGAGAGTTCGGATGTCATTTTGGTCCGAGATTCAGTGTTTTTTTTTTTTTTTTTTGAGCCACTCAGCACAGAGAGTGACTGGAGGAGGGAGGGACCAATCAATGGGAAGAACAGAATCTCAAAAGATAATGAGGAGGAAGATGTACACTCAGGCTGCATCAAATAAGGAACACTTTATCTTTGAAAAGACTTGATACAAAGAACACCTGTGGAGAGCTGTTTGAAGTTTCCTACTGCACAAATACATCAATGTACTCACACTGGCCCTGCTGTGTGTGTGTGTGTGTGTTACTGTTCTCCTGAGATAAATCTTATCTTCTGCAGCTGTTATCAAGCCAAACTGAGCCCATAATGGAAAGGAAATAACTGCTGTATGTTAGTTTTGTTTCACGCTGGGGCGGAAAAACCTGCAGGAGGATGAGAAACGACTGTAGGCGCTAAATTATGTACTGAATTACCCCGAAGTGAAACACACCCACACATCATGTTTAGCATCTGAAGGATAAAATAACATCAGGGTCTTTAAATAAAGCAGAGGATGACATTTTTCCTGTTTGATTGATTCGTCTGTGATACAGCTTCTATATTTACTTTAAGAAGCAGCGCTGGAAATCTACTGTTGTCTCTACTTCTACTCCACTCACTGACAGTATATAATGGACAGAGCTTCTTCCAAAGTAATTAATAGAGTGCAGGTCTTAAAGCAACATTATGTATGATTTGGTATTTGTTGTGATTTGGTGACCCCAGTTTCAGAGTGCAATCCCACTGGTCAATATGGACAGCTGTTCACATGCATTTGTTATGATTAAATTACTTTTGATCAAAAACTGACAGTATATATAATGGACAGAGCTTCTGGGTCTGTGAACAGAAATCTGCATTCAACATAATGACCAGCAGGGGGCAGCTCCACTGTCTGCAAGAAAACACTGATACCATTCAGTCTTATGGAGAAATGATCTGACTTCTTAGTTGATTTATGAGCTCAGTAAACAGTTTCCTGATGAGTTTCTGGTCTCAGTCTCTAGTTTCAGTCTTCTTCCATACAGCATGATGTTCATTTAGTAACTGATGGTCCCTTTAGAGTAAAACAGACCATAAAGCAGGGTATGCTTTAGGGCGGGGCTACCTTGTGATTGACAGCTCATTCTCAGTGAGTCCGTCCGGCTCAACGCACCAAACTCAGATCAAACTGTCAAACAGTGCTGGCTTCGGCTTTGCAGACACTACAAACCAGACCTCCTCTGAAACACCCACAGAGTTACGGTGGCTGAGGAAGACAACAGACCAGAGCAGATCATAAAGAACTCGAAAAGACAGCCCATTGCTGCATGTCGTCCCCCCTCTCCCCCCTCTTAGTCTATTTGGGCACAAAGTCAGGTTTTTCTGACTTGACGTTTCCACATCCCAGACCATCTGGACCAATCTGGTTTCTTCCGTCCCATTAACAAATGTGGGGGAGCCGTTGAGCCCCCCTCTGACCCCAGAAAGGGCTCCGACTCTGAACATGTCTTCAGCTGTGTGAATGTGAAGCAGGCTGCTGTTATAATGAGTTTGTATGCTCGAGGAACATTCCCTGAATAAATAAAGGATGAATAAGTGCCCCTGTGTATCATATGCTGCATACAGAGTGCAAACTATACCACAGCTTTCAGAGGAGTTTATGCTTCATCCATGATGATGAAGATGCAGAAACATAGCACATTGCAGTCCCTCCAGGAAGTGGTGAGAGCAACAATTAATGCAAATTCAACCAATCTCTGGCTGTTCTGCAACTTCAACCAATAATTGTAGTTTCACTTTCTCCTCTCACATTTCGTAACATGCATCGCAATTTTCTAGAAAGGCTGCTGTGGACCCATTTTAGGCTGCAACAATTCCAAAAAAAAAAAAAGCAAAATCCTGGAGAGACATTATTAATATTCTGATACTGTGAATATTTTAGAGACCTCCAAACATTTCATGAATCATGTTTTCAGGGGAGCTCATGTGTTATTAAGAGGAGCCAAGCTCCCCCGCCTTCCCTGTAGTTCGCACCCTGGCTGCATATTTCATGAGTTGAATACAGAAAAAGGCCCTTCTGCACGCAGGGCGACGCTTCAGTACCACAGGATGAATAACAAGAGTCGGAGGAAACCTGGTTGGACAGTGTAATCAGTGCTAGTGTCTATAATGTGAATTCCTGCATATTAAATGTTCATCTTATTCAGATCACATGACGCATAAATGCTATAAAATGCTATAAATGCAGTTGCAAGAACAATACTTTATACAACTTTTTCTAATTTTAACTTTTTTAATTATCTTTTAACTCTCTTTGCTCGTTCCATCATTTCTGCCTGCTGGATGTGTCGTTTTTCTATGACTCCCTGAGTGCTCTCCCTCGTGCCTCTCGGTGCACAGAGGGCTGTTTAAAGATAAGATAAACCTTTATTAATCCTCGGAGAGAACTTCAGGTGTCACAGCAGCAACAGCAGAGGAGAGTGAAACACAGAAGAGGTACAGAACCAGACCAGGGTAATAAGAATACAAATATAGATTAAAAAGACAAAGATAGATAAGCCAAAATACTGGGCAGTGAGAAATTGAACATATCTACAGTCTGTCAATAAATAGATAGTTAATTAAATGTACATATACTGTATGTATATACTGTATAAGTATAAGTGCGTCCATACAGGATTCCGTAGTTAGAGGGGCCAAACTAATTAACGGTGCAGGTCTTAGAGGAACATTATGTAAGATTTGGTATTTGTTGTGATTTGGTGCCCCCAGTTTCAGAGTGGTCAATATGGACAGCTGTTCAGATGCTTTAAATTAAATTACTTATGACCAAAAACTACCCAGGTGATAACTTTGCTTACACAGCCAAACATCGAGCAAGTGCAACAACACAAGACACAGTAAGTCAGATAATATCACTGACGAGTCCAACAGCTGGAGGTCCAGCTCGCCGTCTGTCTGCAGCCTTTTATTTTACCAAGCTCTCGCCAACCACTTACAGCCAGTCCAAGACTTTCTCTTTTCTTTTTCCTTCCTCCAACAACATCCTCCTATATCTCTTCGCCACTTTGCTCACAGTGTAACGCTCCCCCAGGGCTTTGAGCTCCCAGTCCAGCCAGCATGGGCCACGCTGACCAGGCTTAGTGGGAAACTTAGTTTAGGAGCTAACAAAGCTTTCTGTCCATTAGGAGATTGTGTAAATCAGTTGAGGCCGAGCAGCAGAAAAACATTCACTTCATTAAATATGATCCGGTTTCACCAAAATCTAGGACATCATATGAAGCCAAAAGCTACATAGTGCAAGAACAGGCGCAGACTGGGAATGACCGAGGCTCCATTACAACTCAGCATCAAAATGATTTTAAAGCTGTTATTTTAAAGTAGAAAAGTAACTTGATGGGGCTTTAAAGTTCTCATGTTGGAGTCAGTACTAGGTTGTGGAGGCTGATGGATGAGGATCCTCATAGACGGGATGGGAGGGATTCTCCAAGATCCTTCTCCCCGCAACCGCCTCCAGGTTGTCCAGTCCAAAACTGTTTAAAAATAAATATTTTTGGCACAGGTTCGATTTCCTGCATTTTTTCCCACCAGTCGGACGAGGACAGCACACAGACAAAGAGAGAGGACAGCTCAGCCTCTTGTAGCGGCGCTGCCAAATGAAAGACGTGGGCCGAGAGTGGGAAACAGCCTCTGGAGGAGAGAAGCAAGGGAGGAAATGAGAGCAAGGAGTGAGAGACAGAGCTCTTCTATCAGCAGGCGAAACTCTCCCTGTTCTTGACACCTTGGAGCCTTTTCTTCTTTCAAGTGCAAGGACAACAAAATCATCCTAATTACGTGATGGCTCCATGTCGTATTATGAATTACTCATCAAACTCAAAAAGTGTGCAAGGTTTCTATGGATTAAAGTAAAAATCGTGGAGGGTCAGTGGGCCTTTAACCAGGGTTTCATAAATGCATCATGACTTTATGTGCACTGGTGTCCTTTTGAGTCCACCTCTGATTGCATGAAACAATTTTTAATATATATATATATAAAAAAAAGGTGCCTTCATGGGAATAACCTTGTTGAGAACAGCAAAAAGAGCCGAGAGAAGGAAGTGTTTTTCTACCTGAAGACGAGCAGATTAAGTACTGTGAAGGAGGAAGAGGCAGGATGGGAACAGATTTATTAATTTTTTTGCTCATTCAACAAGACTAAAGCAAAATAATAATGATGATAAACTGCACAAACACATGACAGGTAGCTGTGCAGAAGAGGTAAATCCAACAGGGGTTACAAATCTAAACGGCCCCGTGTCAGATTTAAGTTTTCAGGCAGCCGGCGGTGAGCGCAGGGTCATTCACCCGGCTTTTACCGGGACATGACAGGTGCCTCGTTAGGCCTTAATTAAGCCTCATCTCCTCTGCCTCAAGCTGTCACTGTCAGCACAAAGACCTGCAATTACCAACTCCGACCCAGGGAGCCTCGCTGTTTACACCAGCAGACACACCAGCTTTACACTGCGGAGAGAACAGAAAGCATTAATTAGGCCATATCTGCCCCGTCACGAGTAATTACAGTCGGAGACGCCTCTGCAGTCGCTGGAAGAGCTGCTCTAACTTTAACGCTCAGGTTTTTTTGCCACTAGGGGGCAGAAGAAGTCCACCACAGGCCAAAGGACACGCAGCCCTCACACAGTACATTTACTCAAGTACTTAACCTACTTGTACTATTTACTATTTCTATTTTAAACTACTTATCTGACAGCTTTAGTTACTGTTCAGATTAAAAATGTGCTCAGTAAACCTACAACGAGTTTCTAAAAGGATATATTTTTATATATTTGAGTTAATTTCTTAAATGATTTTTCTTCTTAAACTACCAACTAAAAACGTACATAAAGTATGGGTTACGTAACGTTATAGTAATAATAATCATATAATATAGTATATTATTTGGTAGCATTACAATGCTGCCTAAAAATTACTTTTACCTTTGATACTTTAAATACTTTTTGTTGTTGATACTTTTACTTAAATAAAAGTTTTAATTCAGGACTTTTACTTGTAACAAAGTATTTTTTGCTGCTTTTACTTAAAGTACTTAAGAAAACATTAAAATGTCTTAAAAACAACTAGAGCCAAAATATCTGATAAGGCTGCTGCCATCTTAAACTGGTGACGTCCTTTTGTAGCTTCAAATAACTAATAAACTAATAAAAATTAACAGCATGATAAAAACTACCTAAAATTCCAGAATTCATCTTTGGGAAAACGTATTTGTGTATTTTGACATTTTAGTTTGTCCCATCTGTTAACATGGAGGCAGCAGGCTTTATGACCTATACATCAGTCAGCCACCAGGGGGCGATAGAGCTGTTTTGGCTTCACTTTCGGAGAGTTGACATATATGTCGATGGTCTAAATGCTTTTAGCCAGATTTAATACTTGCGCATTATTTGTGCATCCGCTTCCACAGAGAGTCACACTGATAGTTTAATTTACAACAATATTTTCATCAATGCCTATTTAATCATAATTAAATATGTAATAACGTCATCATATAACATTTCACTGACATTATCGACTGGTTTGAAGAATAACTGGAAGAACCAAATATCCCCCAAAAACCACTAACACATGAGATGACACCAAGTCTGCGGATCACAGCGGATCAGTGCAGCCAACTGAAAGTTAACTCAACCTGTGATATTATTTCTGCCTTGAAGCCTGTTTGTGGAACTAATTTTCCAATCTGCAGACACGGGAAACATACAGTATGTGGTCTGTGCTGCTGCAGCATCAAGAAAGCCCTTTTTCTTCTTGTCTTCCAGTGCATTCTGGGACAGAAACGGCTCTTTGATGTATTACAGGCGACACATCCCTTCAGGAAAGAGCTCGATTCAAATCTAAAAGACTTAAGACAACAATTTAGCCGTTCAGCAGTTGTAACAGATGTGTCGAGCTTGATCCATCTTAAAGTCGCCGCGTCCTCAGAGGCTAAAAACACTGCAAACGACGATGACAGTGACTGTCAGCTGTGATTGGATGTTGGACACTGGGAATTAACCAATAACTCAGGATTAGTCAGTAAGGTAATTTGTACAATCTTGACATGTCAAAATGATGAAATGCAACAAAAGAAGATACAAATTTAAACACTGGCTAGGAAGAGCTAAAAGAGTTGTCACATCAAAAGAAAAGAACGTGAGAGCAAGAACAGAAATGTTGCACAAACACAAGAAAGGTGGGAAAGAACACTTTAAACAGGTTAATGTGAACAAAGCAACCTTTGTTTTCTGGGTACAATTTCAGACATTAAGCTGAGGCTTTTACTTCTGCTGATGGAGCAGAAAGAAAGAGCCTCAGTCACCGACATTTCAGGTGATAATGTTAGGGAGGGAGGGAGAGTAAGAGGCAGTAAATGGGAAGAAATAGGAGGAATAGAGTAGCTGTGATGCCAGTAAAGTGCAAGTGAAGCAATAAGAGATGAGGAGCCACATTGCACTGGGTTATCTCAATAACAAGACATTCATTTAGTTTTGTTGCGTCACTCTGCAGCGATTGTGAGAGAGAAAATCACACACATATTCAAAGGAAACCTGGAACATTGCTTGCAGGAATGTACTGAAATTCAAGACTTCTGCAGTAAAAACGTGTGCTCGGTGTTTAAATATTGTTATATAGTGCTCATAAGTGCATTTTAATACATCTAAGTATTATCATCAAGTACTAATTAATACATATAAATATATATAGATATATCAGGCAGCAGGTGAATATTATCTTATTATGAAGTGTTAGAATCAGGGATTATGGACAACGTGAGGATTTGAGCGACTTTGACAAGGGCTGAACTTGAAATGATTAACATTTGCATATTCATAGATTCAGGAATTTTTAATAAAGTAGAAGTAGTAGATATCTTCTTAAGGATTTTAAGGTGGATGTGTATAAATTATACTTTTTTTGCAGGATTTTATTGTAAGGAAATTTTTGTTCATTATTATTGTGCATTATTGTTCCAAGAAGACTATTTGTACAGGTCTTAGATTACAGTACAAATTCTTAAATTCAGCTCAATAAAGTGACCCAAATACTTATTTTGAGAAAGTCTATCTTAAATAACTGAGTTACTGATTTAAAAGGGCCATTATTGTATTCCAGTGGCTAGGTTTTTATGCTAGTTTTCTGAATTCTAGCCAAATAAAATTGACTTACCCCCACTGGCAGATTTTGATTATTATATTGATTATATTTATATTTAAGATTATTTGGCTGGTTTCTAGAAGGGCTGTTTCTGTAGTAAGAGGCTCATTAGAGTGAAGGTAGAGTCAGCATTAAAAAGTGTAGTGTGATTGCCCTCTGTAATTAAAACAGGAAACAGCAGGTGGAGCCACACACACACACACACACACACACACACACACACACACACACACACACACACACACACACACACACCTGTTAATCTGTCATCTCATCTGACCAGGTCAGTGAATGCACCTTGGCCTCCAAAAAAAAATTCCACCACACATTGTTAGGGTCTAACACACAGACCAGAGATCAGTCAAAGACAGTCGAGTACAGCTACTTTTTTTTTTTTTTTTTTACAACAGATTCAACACTGAACAAAATGACTCAAGAAAAAGTTTGGATTAAATACATCAACACAACAATAGATGAAATGACCACAACTACACAATATCTGTTGTCCCATGTGTGTCAGGACTCAAACTGGACCCAATGAATTCTGATTATTTGTCCCTTTGTTCAGCCTTGTAATAAATCTTTTTTTTATACACAAACAAAATGTTGGTTGTAAAAAGCAACAAGTGATAGAAAACTCTGCTCATTTCTCTGTGACGAACCCTTTTTTTGGGGGGAAAAAAAAAGGAAAAAAAAAAAAAAAAAAACATTTCCCCTCTTAAAAAAAAAAAAAAAATTTTTTTTTTTTTTAAAAAAAAAAAAAAATATATTCATATTAGTTTCACAGTTTCTCCATCAGCTTTGTATGAGACCCTGGAATGAAGACAAGAAGAAAATACTTTGTTCATGTTTGTTTATTCATGATGTAAAGCTTCAGTTTGTTCACACATCCCATCAGTAAAGTCTGTTCAATGACTCTTGTTCAATGAGTTCATGTACAGATTCACTTCATCCACACAATCAGTTTGTTGGAGCAGAATCTCAGCTATGTACAAGGAAATAATCAATCATCTGCTTATTGATTATCATCATGCTGAATACACTTTTATAATCCCTCATAGTTCCTCATTTGTACGTGGATTTGGACAACAACAACAACAACAACAACAAACAAATAAATGTGACTAGAGATTTCTTTCCAAAGCGGTGAGAACAGAATATCTCCGATAAAGGAAGGTCTGCTGCTTTCTCTCTTAGACCCATACAGTGGAAGAGAAACAACAACATACAAATACATCATTACAAGTATTCAACAAACACAAGTTTACATTTTCATGCAGAGAAATATCAGTTCAGGTAAACAACAGTCATCATGAGCAGTGATAGCCTCCATGGCTAAACAGACACAGGAAGGAGCTCCACCTAAAGACACTCAAACATTTACAGAACAACTAATGAGAAGATGTCAAAGTACCGCCCACAATGTTTGATTGACAGGTGATCTCTGTGCAGTGAAGAAATGCCACAACAATCAGCTCTCAGCAACAACGATGGAAACAAAACCATTTGAAGAAATAAAACACAGAATTTAACCCACTGTCCCTGAAATCACTTCTGTCTACTTCAGTTTACACAACTCAGCTGTGGATCCATAAAAGAGAGGACAAAATCCAGTATAGAGAGGCTGAGTGAATGTGGTCTGGACTCTGTGGAGGAGAGTCATGGTTTCAGAGACGCTGTAGAAGGACAGAATACCTGCACTGTGATCCAGGTACACTCCAACTCTGGAGGACTGAGGACCTGAGACAGGAGTTTGGACTCTGTTGTAATAAAAGTTATAACCGTTTGTGAAACATTGTAACATCCAAGATTTGTCATTGTATCCAAATCTACATTCATTTGTCCTCCCTGCTCTGCTGATATTCTTGTATGAGACTGCTACATTAACTCCTCCCCCTCTCCTCTCCACCTCCCAGTAACAACGTCCAGTCAGACTCTCTCTACTCAGAACTTGAATCCAGTAAGTGAATCTGTCTGGGTGCCTAGAATAAGACTGATGTTGACTCATTAATGTTACTTTTCTGTTCCCCTGAGATAATAACAGCTGTGTGTATGCTGTGTTTGGATCCAGTGTGAGTTCACGTGAATATTGTAAGAATCCAGCTCTGGTCTTGGGCTCTGGTTGTGGCAGTAAAACATCCACTTCAGTCACTGTCAGTGAGACGTTTGTCCATTTGTCCCTCAGAACGTCCTGTAGTTTATCTCTGAGCTCTGACACAGCCGCTGTCACATCCTCAAAGTACCTCAGAGGACGGATATTGATGCTGGATGTAGATTCACTGAGTGCTGACAGTGAGGGGTAGTTGTGTAGAAACTGGTTGTGGTCCTCTATGTGTGACAGCTTCTTCATCTCAGCGTCTTTCCTCTTCAGCTCAGTGATCTCCTGCTCCAGCTTCTCCTGAAGCTCTTTGACTCGACTCACTTCAGTTTCCTGCTGGGATCTGACCTGCTGCTTCACATCAGAGCTTCTTTTCTCCATGAGACGGATCAGCTGAGTGAAGATCTTCTCACTGTCCTCCACTGCTTCATCAGCAGATCGATTGATAGCCTCCACCTGCTGTTGAAGCTCCTTCACATCTTTCTCTCTGTCCTGGATTCTCTGCTGGATGTTTTGTCGACTCACCTCGAGCTCTCTCTGCCTCTCAGTCCTTTCTGCTGCAGCTGAGACTGTGTCGTGGCCTTTATGTTCATCCACAGAGCAGAGATAACAGATACACTGCTGATCAGTACGGCAGAACATCTTCATCACCTCATCATGATGAGAGCAGATGTTCTCCTGGAGCTTCTTGGAGGGGTCCACCAGCTTGTGTTTCTTTAATGGAGCCACATCATAATGAGGCTGGAGGTGTTTCTCACAGTAAGAAACCAGACAGACCAGACAGGACTTGAGGGCTTTCAGTTTTCTCCCAGTGCAGAAATCACAGGCCACATCTTCAGGTCCAGCATAGCAGAGATCAGCAGGAGCAGCTTGGAGTCCAGTCTTCCTCAGTTCCTCCACTAAATCTGCTAACATGGTGTTTTTCATCAGGACAGGCCTCAGTGTGAAGGTCTGCCTACACTGAGGGCAGCTGTAGATTTTCTTCTCATCCTCTCCATCCCAGAAGCTTTTAATACAGTTCATGCAGTAGCTGTGTCCACAGGGAGTAGTCACCGGATCCTTCAGTAGATCCAGACAGATCGGACAGCAGAATCTTTCTCGGTCCAGCTGAACTCCTTGCTGCGCCATTTCCCCTCTCAGTGACAGCGACTGTCTGAGTTTCACTTCCTCAGAGCTGAAACTAGTTTGAGCTCTGATGTAATCAACAGGTGTTTCTGCAGCGAATGGGGGCTGTCGGCTCTTTCACGTCACCACATGTTGGTTACACCCATCTTCAAACTGTAGATCTAAAGGGGAGGGAACAAGGAAATATGTGTGCAGAGAGGAGCTTGCTGTGTTTGAGAGCGGGAGGAAGAGGGAGGGGTTATCAAGCTGTTAATCATTCCAGGAAGAGGAGCAGTGCTGTGAGTGTGAACTTTGATTCCTCGTTTATGATGAAGCCTCAGTTATAACTTTTATAACTTTTATAAAATATGGCTGATGTGAAGTTGAAATAAAGGAGTGAACTAAAGTAAAATCTCCAGTCAGTGAGAGTCATCAGCCAAACAACCACTAATAAAGACAATAATGTCAGTGTTCCTTATTTTAAATGATGCAATCCTAGACTGTCTGTAAAAGGTGTCAGAGATGAGGACTGTAAACACAGCTGCATCACATGGTGCCATTTTATCATCTTAGTCATCGTCTTTGTAAACCAATTAGTTTAAAGTCCAGGACTCAGTCAGTTTGTGTTTTTATTTATTACAAGGACATTTATTACTTTGTGTGTGAGTGTGTGTGTGTGTGTGTGTGTGTGAGTGTGTGTGTGTTTTTAATGTAAGCACTTTGTCTGATTGATTGATTGATATTGTCATCATGCGGTATTTTACTGACATTGTTCACCGATTTCAACAATAGTAGAAGAACTAATATTCACTGTAATGTTAAACTGCACCAGTAGATTAAGAGGACTGGGTTTAAACTTTAACTTTTATGAATATATTTGTTGAAATATATTCACCTGAATAATCCCAGCCATCAGTTATTAGACTGATTTTGTTTTTATGCTTTATATACGAGGACATGAGTTTATATATTTGCTCATGAATAGCTGAAATACAATAGTTTTTATTATAAATTATTTGGCACTTGTCTTCTTCTGTAAACAGCATGAAGACGTCGTTAAAACCTGATGAAAACCAAACAAAGAAATACATAATGTAAACTCTCTCTCTGTACCTGCGTGCTGCTACAGCTCAGACTGATCACATGTGCTCTGATTTGTTCTTTGCTCGCTGTATATTTCTGTGGTCAGTAAACGTCCACGCAGGCAACACAAATATCCGACAACCCTGAACTGTAATCACCTCACGTATGAGGTCGCTTTTTTTTGCCTCCATCACACCGATGAGTCACCGTCCGCCTTCATCCTCCCTTATTACGTCTCAGCAGAGCCACGCTGTTGTCGACAATGAGGGCATGCATTAGTAAACATTAAAGGCACAGTGGTCACTAATGCCTGACACTGCTGCACAAAGAAGCCAGAATGACTGAAGCTTTTATGGAGGTGGTGGTGGTGGTGGTCGGTGGGAGCAACACGAGCGACAAGAATCTGAGCGTTGTGCAGGTTTGTAAAGGATCATTCTTTCTCCATGAGCTCATTGGCTTCCTTTTAGAATGACTCCCATCAGTGAGCTAAAGAGTATATTAACACTGGACCAGTGTCTCTGTACATTTTAGCCACTCTACATAATCCATACTTTACATTATCGTGATACATTTCACCAAGCCTCATTAACAAGGCCCCGTACCCCCTTTGACACTGACTCTTATACCCACCCTGTATATACAGTATGCATTACATTAATGCACTTGTGTCTTCTGCACAGTTTTCTTTTCTTATGTCTTCTTTCTTTATTTATATTTTAAAAGTACTTTATTTTTCTGTGTGATTTGTATATTTTATGCATCAAATGCACCAGGACACATTCCTCGTAGGTGTAAAAACCTATTTATAGGCAATAAACATAATTCTGATTCTGATTCTGAAGAATAACTCAAAATGTAAAGGTCCAGCGTGTCTGCAAGTTTTAAAGCTGTAGTAAGTATTTTTTGTGAAGATATTTGTTGTGAAGATACATTCACAAGAATCCACAGGGCCTGAACGAAAACAACCAATCAGAGCTGAGCAAGATAGTGGATTGTTGAGACTCATTCCCAAGGCCTCAAACGTTTTAAAACACACAGTTTCACAGCGCTTCACACACAAAAATATATTATATATGGGTAAAACCAGAAGAAAAATAAAAATAAATTGCACAACAAAACACAACAACATGAGACAGAACAAACAGTGAAGAGAGAGGGGATGACAAGGACAAGCAACAAGGACTCAGCCCCGGTCCATGGGGCACCAGCTCTGTGAGCTATAGGAGCCCCAAGCTGATGGGTTTTTAAGGAGCTGCTTAAAAAAAGTCCAAAGATTCAGCAAATGTGAGCGACTGGGGGAGAGGATTCCAGAGGGTTGGGGCTAAAACAGCAAATCGCACTCACCTTTTGTTTTGCAGTTGGAACGGGGAGGATGGAGAAGATTTGGCCTCGAAAGGCTGTAATCCACAGAGAGAGAGAGAGAGAGAGAGAGAGAGAGAGAGGCAGACTAAATGAATATGGCAGAGCGGAGCTGTAATGCAGCCTGGAGCCTCCTCAGCGCTCTCTCATGCCCATATTTGCCTGAGGTGTGATTTGAAGGGTATGGCTGCCAGAAGAAGGTTTGCTGCTGGCAGTGTAGAAGAGGTAAAACTCTATGTTGTGAGATAACTGAGCTGGTCTCAGGCATGAAACTCCCCAACTGAAAATGAGTCCCACTCTTGTTTCATATCTGTTTTTACTTAATTCTATTTTAAAAAATGTTTTTGCAAAATAATGAAAAAGATCAACGATGATTTAAAATGATGATATAAAAATGCATAGAAATTCTTGCAGCATTTTGCAGTATGATATTAGAAATATTAACATGATATTGTGAGCTGTACAACTGCTGTTATAGAATATCTGAGCAGCTCGATGTCATTTACGGTGTCTCTATATGCTTCATGATCTCACCGGGAACCGGACACAGCCCAAGGGCTCTGGAAAAGGAATCCTGCCTTCTGTAAAGGAAAAGAAATAAAGCACATTTGTTGATCAGCAGCCATCTTACAAGTCCTTAAAGTCATGATGAGTACATTAAATCCAAGTCATATTATCTTTCAAATTCAGTTTCTATGGACTCAAGACTTCATTACATGGTATGGAGTAACAACATATTCAGAATACAATAATGACAAAGAAGGAAAGGATGGAAAAAAAGCACCCAAGTACTTTATTCTCTTTACAGTTACCATTCTGATTCCCACAGAAACCTTTATATTCACCAGAGACTGCGGGGAGTTCTGTGTCCGTAAACCTGAACATATAATAGCCTGTAAATTGTTTTTACAGTTTTTATGGAGTATTTTACTTCCTCCTGCAGACAGCTCAGTGTTTGCTTTACTAACAACAAGCACAGTCTCTATTTGTGTGGGAGTATTGTTGATTTATTATTCCAACAGAGAGACTACTACACAAGACTACACAAATCTTCTGCAGAAGAAATGTAACTCTGGATGATTTGCTTTAAGCTGTAAATGTGTCTTTGTACCTCTTTATATGCAGAAATAATATCCCAACCATAAGAACATAATATATAATATAATATATCATCTGAAACTAAAAGTAGGTTTTAATAAAAAGTCCTTGTTATGTTTTATTGTCCGCCCAGAATCATAATGTCGTAATGCTGAATTTTAAGATGTATTTCTTTCATCTTCACTGGTCGAGTTGATTTATAATAATAATAATTTGACATTTTTCCTCTATGTCTCCCCATAATGTCTTCCACCACCTCCCCATCAAGGCTGCTACAGTACATCAACTGGAGGTGGGGTGATCGCAGACCCTCCCTGACCCTCCCTGACCCTCCAGTTTGCCTTCTTAGGGCATTTTTATTAATAAAAAAAAGAGAAACAGGCATGGTTGAAGAGTGTACGCCTGTGGCTCCACACAGAGCGAGTGTTTCTGCCTGCAGCTGCCTCTTCCTTTCTATACTGAGTTTACCTTTGATAAATACAGTAAAATAAAAGCCTTGTTAACATATGAATGGATTCAGTCCACAGAAACACGAGAGATCTTTTAATCTCTAACGCACACAGGAGCTTACAAAATACATGTATTTATGTTTCCTGTCTGTGACATGTTGTACACATTGAAAGGCAGAGAAATTGTAGGGAACAGTGTATATGTTGCTGGTATAATGTCGATATGACTATAAACAGACCCTTTTCACTCCTTTTTCACTTTCTTTCTTTCTGTCTTTCCTTTTTTACTTCACTGTCTTTTTTTGCTGGGAACCGCTCGCAGAAAAAATCTGCGACTCACACGGGCAGTGTGGCTGCTGTAGTCTGTCAACATGGATGGAGACGTTCCACCACGCACACACGCTACAGAAGCAGGCAGTGTGACCCGCGTACTGTCCGACTTTTTTATGGACAGTTTGTTGTACAGGGGAGATAGTTCTGTCTGCAGAGCCCCGATGAGCTTGCTGCTAACTTTATTCTTATTCTTTATTCTTGATAACAAGTATTTCTGTCTGAGGTTGAGAGCTGCATCCCAGTAATTACATGAAAAAGTAAAAAGTGACTCAATAAAAGATTTATAAAACATCAGAGATCTGTCAGCCTCGTCTTCCTCAGACAACAAAAGATGCTGCTGGCTTTTCTTAGAATATCTGTGTTCCTTACAAAGGTCAATTATGATTCCCAGTGCCTGAAATGGGCCGGTACTCACAGGTACTGAGTACCACCAGAGTAGTTCCTCCTACACCTCACTGCCCATCCTCATCCTCAGGTCATCAAACTCAGACACGAGTGGTGTTCAGGTAGTTGAACACCACTGGTGTCACTAAATCCTGCACACTGGACCTTTTAATGCTTGTCCCACCTGTTGGTGTGGTACCAGACAGGGCCACCTCTCCCACCAACCCCAAAGCAGTCCCCCCCCCACTTCCTCTCCCGCTGATTATGCACAATAAGATCATTATATAACAATGAGGTTTTGTAGTGTTAAGCTCCAAGTCGACCCGGTTTGGCAAACGTCCAGTCGACTCTTCTTTAAAGTCCTACGGTGCCTCTATTATTCAACACAGTCTATTTAGA